TTATCACTGCTTAAGAACACTGCTAAAAGCTGGGCGTTAGTGGTGCACGCCTTTAATCCCAGCACTCGGGAGGCAGAGGCAGGTGGATCTCTGTGAGTTCGAGGCCATCCTGGTCTACAAAGTGAGTTCCAGGAGAGCCTCCAAAACAATACAGAGAAACCCTCTCGAAAAACCAAAAAAAAAAAAAAAAAAAAAAACACTGCTAAAAATGGCATTAGTATGTTTAATATCACTTTAATAGTTGGAAATACTTTCTCCAAAGACAAATGTAAAACAAAAAGCCTGATACCTATTGGAGGGCCTAAAACTGACATAAAGACCTGCAATGGTGTGAAGCGACTGAGAAATTGGTGAGGTACTACGGGAGATGGTTTGCTTTCTTCCAATTTTTTTTTTTGAAACAAGGTGTCGGGTACCCCAGGCTGGCCAAAAGCACTGAATGTTTTGAGGATGACCTTGAACTTCTGATCCTAATTCTACCTCCCAAAAGCTGGGTGAAAGGTACTTATGCTTGTTTATGTGATGCTCTGGAGGGACCCAGGACTTTGTGCATGATAGGCAATGAAAATATAGCTCGCTGGGCATTGGTGGTACATGCCTTTAACCCCAGCACTCAGGAGGCAGAGGCAGGCGGATCTCTGAGTTTGAGACCAGCCTCCAAAACAACACAGAGAAACCCTGTCTCGGGGGAAAAAAAACTAAAAACTTTTTTGAATATATTCCAGATGAATAATCTACATTCCAAATTGAATTTTAAAAAATATTCTGGGTTTTTTTTTTTTTTGCCTTCCTTTTGTTTGTTTTTTGTTAAGCCTGATTCTCAGTGTAGTCCTGGCTGTCCTGGAACTCACTCTGTAGACCAGGCCAGCCTCAAACAGATATTTATCTGCCTCTGGCTCCTGAGTGCTGGGATTAAAGGAATGCACCACCCCAGGTTTTGGGGTTGGGTTTTTTTTTTTGTGTGTGTGGGGGGGGAGGTGGTTTTTGGGTTTTTTTGTTGTTGGTTTTTTCAAGACAGGGTTTCTCTGTGTAGCTTTGTAGAGTCGGCTGGCCTCAAACTCACAGAGATCAGCCTGCCTCTGCCTCCTGAGTGCGACATTTTTTTGAGGCTGGCTTTGAACCACAGAGAACCACCCACCTCTGTGTGGAGTGCTGATATTAAAGATCACGTGTGTGTGTGTGTGTGTGTGTGTTAGATATATAGCTCAGTAGTAGTTTTTGCCTAGCACATGACACATCTGAGTTCCATTCCTAGTACTAGACAGAAAGATGGATGGACAGATAGACACACACACTTTAAGCAAAACTGCCTCTAGGGATCTGGAAAGATGGCTCAGCAGTTAGCTCTTGCTGCTCTTCCAGAGGACCAAAGTTCAATTCCCAGCTCACACGTGCCTGTAACTCCACCTCCAGGCATCCAATGCCCTCTTCTGGCCTCTGTGGCTATCCACACACATGACTTTCACTCATAGACACATACATACACATAAAAATCGTAATAAATCTTTTAAAAACTGCATTCAGTTCACATCCATTTCAACTCAGTATTTACGAGGAGCCACATCCACAGGAAATACTGTGAAAGGTGAGACGTGAGGCATCTTCTCTGCCGTAATGGACTGCACCCTTTCACATGGTAAGCCAAAGTAAATTCTTCAGGCAATTTCCCATCTGTAGATGCAGAAGGGAACCCACATGTAGTATGCCAAGTGGGGAAAAAAGCCCCATTCCTGCATTACCCTTCCAGCCAGCTGTGCCCCTCAGAGGAGTGCTTCACCCAAGCCAGCACCTGCAGCTTAGCTGCCAGCTGCAACTCCAACTTCTGTAGTTGGCTCACTCATAATGCACCTGGCAAGCCCAAATGTCAACCAATGATGAGTGGGGCACATACTGAGTCAGATCTTACAGCAATACCAGTATACATCACCGGTAAGAATACAGTGTATCTTTCCCCCCACTTTCTGCTCTTGTCGTTCTAGAGAGTGAACCCAGTGCCCAGGTATAATAGGCAAAAACTCTGCTCCTGTACTATGGCCCCGCCCTGACTGAACCATTTCTAAATTACCTGTAAAAGAAACTAAATTTGTCTTTGTGACAGAATTTCATCATGTATAAGCACGGTTATCCACAGTGGTGTAAACCAGTACTCCCGGGTCAGACAGGAAACAAACTAAGAAATTGGTCCTCTGCCAAGCTGGACCATAGGCATTGTGAACCAGAGTACCGGGTAGATAGGAATCTGGGATTGTGTTGTCTTCTCACGCTGGAACCAGTCACTAATCAGGAGACACAGTCTACTCTGACTACATTTGTCATGCTGCTTTGACCAGCTATTGCCTGTCAAGGCCTTGCTCACTTTGTGCTTAAACTGTTTTTGTTTTGTGTTTCTTTTTTTCAAGACAGGGTTTCTCTGTGTAGCCCTGGCTATCCTGGAACTCTCTCTTTAGACCAGGCTGCCCTTGAACTTAAAATATTCACCTGCCTTTGCCTTCCAAGTGCTGGGGTTACAGGCATGTGCCACCACCACTCATGCTTCCACTGTAATGGAGGAACAGGAAGGCACGTGCAGTCTTGAAAGGCTCAAAGGGCCACAACCTAGTATCAGCAAAACCGAAGGCCCTACATCTCGTATCTTAGCACCTAGCCTCAGTTATTGCCATGGATATTGCCATGAAGTTTTCAGGAAGTCAATCCCTTCCCACATTGGCCCTCAATGCGGAGCATCCTCCTGACCTATCAGAAAGGGACTCAAAAACAAGGAATCGCTCAGGCTGGGCATAGTAAAGGAGGCATATTGCAGGGTGTAGTCCATGACAGGCAGAACAAATTCTTGGTCCTTCAACTCTCCACTCAGACCCTGTTGCATTGTTTATTCCATAATCAATTACTTTGGGGGATAGATACCAAAGCATATTGACTGAAAGCAAAAGATTATAATTTACAACAGTGGTTCTCAACTTTCCTAATGTTGCAACCCTTTAATACAGTTCTTCATATTGTCCTGACACCAACCATAAAATTATTTCCATTACTACTTCATAACTGTAATATATGAATTGTAATATACATATCTGATGCACAGGATATCTGATATGCAACCCCTGTGGAGGAGTCAAGACCCACAGGCTGAGAACCCAGTTATGTTCCTAGATAGACTCACAGGAGTAACAAAACCTAAACCAAATCTGACAACACTGGGGAGTCAAGGTAATCACAGACATGGTAAAAATCCAAGTGCTTTAAAAAAAAAAAAAACACCTCTGGGATTCTCCAGTTCATCTTCTGGATGAACTCTAGTATGTGTCACATGATTGTGTAGATTTCATCACTGGGTAACTATCTCTCTGTGTGGATACAGTTTCCCCCTTCTAAGGCATGCTTACATCAGCAGTAGTGAAGGCTAAAGGGATGATGCCACAGGGCAGTGTGGGCTTTGTGGAGCTGAGGGGGCAAGCCAGGCCCATTTGTATAAAAAAGACAGTCCTGTTTCTGCCGAAAGGCTCTGGGGAGGAATTTAGGGGAGGTTGGACATTAGATAGCTGTTTCACCCATCCAGTATCCATGAAGCCTCAGCTCTCTCTTCCTGCCCCATGGGGGTAACTGATGAGCTGGACCTCCCTTGGGACCCCAAAGCCTAAGTGGGCCACCCTCTTAGTTATCTACTTACTTATTTTAAAATATACATTGGGATCAAATCAGGTCCTCATACATGCTAAGCTCAAGTGTTCCACATGGTGGATATCTGCCACTCTCATCAGCCTTTACCCTGCTATGAGGTGAGCCCCACTCAAAGACGAATGCACAGGTCAAGTAGAAAGTTGATTCACCCACCAATGGGCCAGCTCGCCAAGAGTTGTTAATAGCTACCGACCTTCGGCAACTATGAGGAAGATGGCTCACTGTGACTACAACTTAAAATTACTATAAATTTCAGCCGGGCATTGGTGGCGCACGCCTTTAATCTCAGCACTCGTGAGGCAGAGGCAGGCGGATCTCTGTGAGTTCGAGGCCAGCCTGGTCTACAGAGCGAGTTCCAGGACAGCCTCCAAAGCCACAGAGAAACCCTGTCTCGAAAAAAACAAAACAAAACAAAGTTACTACAAATTTCTTTAAAATTATTTTTTGGGGCCTTGGTGGCACACATGCATACCATAGTGGCTGTGTGGAAGTCAAAGGATAATTCATGGGAGTGAGTCTCATTCCACCAAGAGGGCTTCACAGATCAAACTAAGGTTGAGCCATCTTGCTGGCCCAAGAATTCAGATTAATAAAAAAAAAAAAAAGAGCCAACTGGGCAGGAAGCCATAGTTATTCACTTTATAGCAGCCTGGCCCTTCTTGATATCGCCATTTCTGCAGCAATAATCTAAGGCTCATGGATCACAACTCAAGGGACTTGAGTCTTTAAATACACATTTTTGAGCTGGGCTGTGGTGGTACACACCTTTAGCCCCAGCACTCAGGAGGCAGAGGCAGGCAGATGGATCTCTGTGAGTTCCAGACCAGTCTTGCTACAGAACAAGGTCCAGGATAGCTGGGGTTACACAGAGAAACCCTGTCTCGAGAAACTATGACGACAACAACAACAACAAAACCCAAACAAACAAAAATGAACACATTTTGGATTAAAAAAAAAAAACAACTGAGGGGGGTAGTGGTGGTGCACGCTTTTAATCCCAGTACTAGGGAGGCAGAGGAAGGCAGATCTCTGTGAGTTCAAGGCCAGCCTGGTCTACAGAATGAGTTCCAGGACAGTCAGGACTGTCATGTGCAGACACCTTGTCTCAGAAAACAAAAAATAAAATTAAAATAAATAAAATTAAAAATAAAATAAAAAAACAAAAAAACAAAACCCTGAAAGACAGGAGTATGTCCCTGGCCTCACTCTTTGGGATCTTTCTTACATCTTGGGCTAAAAGGATAGTCATAGAGGAAAAATGCTTCTCCCATGTGAAAACATTCCACTCCCTCACACACTACAAAGATAGCACCACGTGAAACTGCATGTAGCGGAGCACTGCCAAAACTGGAGTGACCCGTTGTTCTTGAAACAACCACCACTCTCCACTCAGAGCTGTCTCCCTCCTGCCCTTCTGGGCTTTGTCACCACTTGATATCCAAGCTGTCTGTGCAGGGCTCCAAGCTCTGGTATGTGGTGTGCAGCACCTCCTGGACTTTGGGGGACTCAGTACCCTCCAGCCACTCCTGGTACAACTCCTCCACATGTGCACTGCTCTCTGGGGGTCGCACAGGGATGCCAGAATAGATCCCTTCCATCTGCTGCAGGAGTGCACGATCTGTGTGGCCGTCCTCTGTCTGTGCTTGGCCTCTGCCATTTAAGCATCCTGAAAGACACACATAGGTGGACTTCTTCTTCCCTGAGGGATAGTCAGTTACAAGGGAGTTTGCATCAAGGGAGAATCATGAAATAGGCAGTACCATGTGACTTGAGCTTATTTCTGGAGCTCTCAGTATTCTCCAAGGTTATCTTGGAGCCTGCCCAGGAAGAGAGTCCTGGGTGTTCTTTAGTATTACCATATACATTACCCATAAACTGGTTTTACCTAAAAGCCTTTAGAAGTGGGCAGTTTTCTGCTATCTGGATTCCTGGTTTCTTCTGAAAATTACCCAAAGAGCATAGCATGGCTGAGCAAATTCCCACCTAGTTAAACTTCACTCTCCACAGATCCAAGCCACTTGAAAGCTGGACTCTTGATGTCCTCTTTTTCAGTGGGCTTGCACCCACTTCCTCTCCTTCCCAGGCCTATGCGGTTTCCCCCCAGAAAGCAAGGGGACCCTCCTAGAGGCTCCACCCACCAGCCATCTTGTTTCTACTCACTATAGCACAGGGCTGAGCCCAAAAAAAGTAGATGCCCCCTGCTGTCATCCCCTCTTAAATGCTAGCCACTAGCAGTTTCCCTCCTTTAGAAGATCCCTCAGGACATGGACTAGAAACATAGGCCTCTCCTGTCTTACTCTTTATGGGTCCTGTCTTCATTTCTGACAATGTACCTTTCCTGGCTCCCTCTGGGCCTTTCTGAGAACTCTAGTGTTCCTACTTGAGTATGTTGACTCAGACATTCCTGGTCTTGAGCCATCTCCTTCACACCCAGGGGCGTAAACAGACCACTTCAAATCAGACGCTCCCCTCATTCTCCAATACCTGTATCTTCCCTATCATTTAGAAAGTCTAGGCATTCTATATGGAGAGATACCTTGCTCAGTCTGGACACAGGTGTGTGTGTGTGTGGGGGGGGTGATGAGGTGCCTTGGTCCTGCCTCAATGAGATGATGGGACAGACTTAGTAGACTTCCTAGAAGAGGAATTACCTTCTCTGAGGAGCAGATGGGAGGTGTGGAGGGTAGTGGGGGGAGCAAGAGAAGAGGAGGGAGAGTGAACTGGGATTGGAATGTAAAAAAAAATTAATTTTAAAAAAGCAAAAAGAGAGAGTCTAGTCACTACACCCTACCCTAGCTCTGGTCTACTCTCATTGTCTCTTCACCCTACATGAGAACTTGCCTCATCTGCCTGGGTCTTTACACCTGGATGGTTAATTTCCCTTTGCAACAGGGGAATGCTAAGAGAACAAGTAACATCTGTCCTTCCCTGCTGCCACTTTGCACAAGGCCAGCTCTACTAGTAGTCCCTGTGTACTAACTCCATGTTATTGACTTTAGGAGCTGGTTCCCATCTGGCACCAGGTGGGGCTCCCATATGGCACTTACAAGTGGGTGTCTAAGGATACAACTGCCTACTTCTCACACTACAGTTGAGGGAAGGGAGCCTTCATAGGTGAGGATGGCATGCCATAGCATAAGAGAGGAACCCACCCTGATGGTTACTGGTGGACAGGCTATTAGTGGGTCTTCTGCACCCCTTACCTCTGGGACATGCTAGGACCTCCACGAAGTGATATGGGAATTTGCCCTTCTTGAGCTTCAGGATCATGTTCTGGATATTGCGGAAGCCATAGGCTGCAGCAAAGCGCAGTAAGACCTCCCCATTCTTCTCAAGGGTAACCTCATGGAAGTCTTTGTTTCTATAAATCAATAAAATGGATTTTAATGGTCAGTAACCTAAAGATCACATATGTCTGTTTGAGGTATTGTCTTACTATGTAGCCCAGGATGACCTTGAGCTCAGAATTTTTCCTCAGTCTCCCCAGTGCTAGGTTTACCATATCTGCCCATTTTTTCAATTTAAGTTTTGAATGTCACCAAGATAATGTCAATGGGAAGACACACAAACAGCCCTTCTATTGTAACCAGTGCTGACTTTCCCGTAGAGCAGCCACGGGTAGAGCAGTCATGTATACCACACAGATCAGGCATACCACACATAATGCATACAGGCAATACACATCACACCCTGGCTCTGGCTGATCTGTCAGCACCACTCCTGGGTACACCAGTTGTAGATATGCTGGCTCAAACCTTAGTGCACGATAGTTGATCTCCTCTATGTGCTCTCCGAACAACTCTTTGGCTGCATGTCTGAAGACATGGGCCAGATGCCCATCTGAACTCACTCCATCATGACGCCATACTGAAACCTCCTTCACATTTCCAAACCTCAAACAAATAGGACAAAATCATCATTAGTGCTGATGAAGAGGCAGCAAGTATGTACTGGCTGGTTTTGTGTGTCAACGTGACACACAAAAGCTAGAGTCATCGGAGAGGAAGGAGCCTTGGTTGAGGAAATGGCTGCATGAGATCCAGCTGTAGGACATTTTCTCAATTAGTGATCAATGGGGAAGGGCCTAGCACATTGTGGGCAGTGCCATCCCTGGACTGGTGGTCCTGGGTTCTAGAAGAAAGCAGGCCAAACAAGCCATGGGAAGCAAGCCAGTAAGCAGCACCCCTCCATGGCATTTGCATCAGCTCTTGCCTCCAGGATCCTGCCTTGTTTGAGTTCCTGTCCTGTCTTCCTTCAGTGATGAACAGCAATGTGGAAGTATAAGCCAAATAAGCCCTTCCTCCCCAACTTGCTTTTTGGTCATGGTGTTTCATTACAGCAATAGAAACCCTAACTAAGACAAAGTACTAACCCAGTTTTTATAGGAACAGGATCCAGGGAGCCATGTAAAGGTTACTCCTTTGCAGGTATTTAAACTTTGGGGAGCCACCACGTGGGTGCTGAGAACTAAACCTAGATCCTCTGAAAGAGCAGTAAATGCTATCTCTCCATCCCCCAAAAGCATACTATTTTTCATTTGTTTGTTTTGTTTTGTTTTTCAAGCAGGGTTTCTCTGTGTAGCTTTGGAGACTATCCTGGCACTCGTTCTTTAGAACAAGCTGGCCTTGAACTCAGAGATCCTCCTACCTCTGCTTCCTGAGTGCTGGGATTAAAGGCGTGTGCCACCAACGCCCGGCCAGAAGCATATTCTTAATGAGGTCTAATGAACAACATGAAATGTCACTTCACATCTAGCCCAAGATTGCAAGTGGGGCTATGTCACTGGGTTCGCTCACTTGCTTCTTTGTGCAGCCACACAGGCATTCAGGGCAGGACAGTGGCGTGGTGACTGAACACCTGACGGTGACTTCAGAGTATGCTTGAGTGTGTCCAGGCCAGAACGAGGACCTTTGGTCACTTGTCCAGGTCAGGTAGACTCTAGCAGCAGGTACTCCAGCTGCTGTAATTCTACAAACTTCCATATCACCTCCTATAAAGGGGGCATAAATGTAGTACCCAAGCCATCAGTTGTGCACTTGGTCTTTACAAAATACTTTGTGTGGGACCCAAGGACGCAGCAAAAGCCAAAGTCCTAACTGGGCACCAGGATCACCATGGGAATTAGAAACCCAGCAGCTATGTGCTTGGTGCAAAGAGTCCAGAGGGAGCTACAGTGTTAGACGTGTGGCTCTGCTCCACATAGCTTCTACACTTGCCTTCCTTCCTGAAGGACACAGTAAGCCTCCAGATCCCCTGGCAGTACTAGAGCATAGACCCATTCCAGGATCCTGAGGAATCCATTTCAAAGGCCAGGTTGGTAAGGCTGCAGGAACCTGTCTCAGTTCTCACATGATCTGATTATGGCAGCCCTGGGGCCTGCAAAGCGCACCAGAGGCCCCTCCCAACTTACAAAGATGCCACTTACAAAGTATCCACAGCAACATCTTTCACAGAGAGGTCACTTTGTTCCATTATCTGGGCAATTTCACCTGAAGAAAAAACAAGAGGCCATGAGTCCCTGAAAGGACCACAGGTGGCCTAGAGCTCTGGGCCAGGCTTTGCTTCTCCTGGGGAAATTCTGCATTAGAAGCCTAGGACCCCTTCTTGCTGTATAATCCATTTTATATATCAGTAAAAAGTAATGTTAACATCAGAAAAACACTAAAAAGATATGAAAACGGAATCCTCTTTTGGACCCTGAACTGAGGTAATTCTGTAATTGCTTCAGGCTGCGTCAAAGTGGAAGCCTATGTATGCTCCACACCAAACTGTTGTGACACATGGAAACTGAGCATAAAAAGCTGCTCATAAGCCAGGCATTGGTGGCGCATGCCTTTAATCCCAGCACTCTGGAGGTAGAGGCATGTGGGTCTCTGTGAGTTCGAGGCCAGCCTGGTCTATAGAGCGAGTTACAGGACAGCCTCCAAAACAATAGTGAGAAACCCTGTCTTGAAAAACCAAAAAAAAAAAAAAAAAAAAAAAAAAAGCTGCTCATAACCAGAAGCACTTTGTATACTACCTTCTACATAGGGGTTCCTGGTAGAGTCCCCTAGACAGCAAGTAAGACACCAGGTGCCATGGGACATCACTAACACACAGCACAGGTTGAGTTTTCAATGTGGTTCTAAGATGGTCCCCTGGAAGTTTTTATTCCATCAATGCTCAGAAAGTAGAGAACAGCACCACTGAACACTTTGCCCTCCCGGCCACACTGTTCCACCTTGGTAAAAGCTAGAATCCCAGGACATGGAGGAAGACAGCTCCCGATCTTCAAGGTCATCCTGAGAGACAACCCAGCCTCTTGACCCTGGTCTAAACATCTTCAAGGATCAGTTTCCAGAGTCTGATTCAAGTAGACAGGCCTGGACCCTAACAAACTCCCACAAGCACTCTTGGCCTTCTTTCTTCTGGAAAGCTCCCAGGACACCAGTGGATAATCTTCATCACCAACCAAATCTGTCACAGTCTCTGAAGCAGCGGTTCTCAACCTTCCTAATACGCCAACCCATTTTAATAAAGTCCCTCTTGTTGTGGTGACCTCCAGCTATAAAATTAATTTCCTTGCTACTTCATAACTAATTTTTCTATTGTTATGAATCATAACATAAATATCTGGTATGCAGGATATCTGATATGTGAGCCCTGTGGAGGTTGCAACCCATGTTGAGACCACTGCTGGGAAGCATAGCAAGGGCCACTAAATGCAACATTACTAGAGTACATATGAATTTTTCACTTTAGTCAGTGTAAAACATTCTTTGTGTTGGGCTGGAGAGATGGCTCAGAGGTTAAGAGCACTGACTGCTCTTCCAGGGGTCCTGAGTTCAATTCCCAGCAACCACATGATGGCTCACAACCATCTACAATTCAATCTGGTGCCCTCTTCTGGCATGTAGGTAGAACACTGTATATGTAATAAATAAATAAATCTTTAAAAAAAAAACCATTCTTTGTGTCCTATAGCATACTGGTTTTCTCACATGTGGGAAAGTATGGGGGGGCCTCTGTAGGATTTACAGCAGGCAGAGAAACATCCACAAAGAGACAAGAATGAAACTCAGTTCAGCCCAATTGTAGCTATTGGTGCTGGGCCAAGACTGAGTCTGATCAGAAGTTCGTTTATTTTAACCATATTTAAGCACAGCACAATTTCAGAAAAAAAGTTTTCTGGTAACAATTAACTTGGCCCTGTGATTACAGCAAAGCTTACAACACGTTTATATTGAAGCTATTTACAAAACACATATGGCCCTGTCCCTAAGTTGGTTTCTTGCTGATTTAGAAGCAATGCTCAGGATACGGGTCTAGGGAGAATGACTGAAGTAAACAGAATGCCCAGGGTTTGGTCTGGTCCTAAAATAACGTAGAAGTTACTTAGGCTGCTGTAAAGCACAAAAGACATCACTCATAAGGATGGTATCACGCCTAGAAACAATGCTAGATTATGAGAAAAAGGCCTGGGATAAGTAAAACCTAAATTCTGGGGGATATGGACAAAGCCTGTCTCCATAGTCAGCAAAGGATCGCCAGGTTGTAAACTGTATCCACTCCCAGAATACCAGGAGGAGGACAGTTTAAACATCTCTTTCCTTTGAAGGGTGCTTGCATGTTCAACCTTCCTGGCTACTCCAGTGCACAAGCCCTTTTGTCCTCTACAGGAAAGGATGTTGATGGGCTGTGATGGAAGTACACATTACCTAAGAGCCATGTTGCCAGTATTGTTCTCCCAGAGACCTGACTCCTATGGAGGATGCAGAATCTTCCTCTTTGCTTTAGGTCACCGAATCCCCAAGAATCCTTGGCTATCACTACTATCAGGCAGCTTGGCCAGGCTGGCCTGTCAGAGACATGCTCACTTTCTGAGTTCAAGAACAGCTATCCACTTCTCACCTGACGTCAGCACACAGTCAGTGCCCCTGGCACCATTCAAAGTAGTGGAAAGTCCCTCTCGAAGAGCTTCCAGCTTCTTATCATAGCAAGGAGCCACAACAACATGGAAGATTTTCTCAGGAGACAGATTCTGTGGAGGAGAGCACTCAGCTTAGAACTTCAGGGAAGCAATGATGGCAACTAGAGTGTGGGGGGGGGGTGTTGGGGAAAATTATTTTAAGGTGTGTTACATTTGTTTATGCTGCAGAACATTTGTTTTAATGATGCAAGAATGTGTTGCATTCTTTCATGTTGTATTTGTTTAACTCTGTGAAGCTGTGATTCCTTGCCTGTCTAAAACACCTGATGGTCTAATAAAGAGCTGAACAGCCAATAGCTAGGCAGGAGAAAAGATAGGTGGGGCTGGCAGGCAGAGAATAAATAGGAGGAGTCATCTAAGAAAAGGGGGCAGGAACAAGAAAAAAACAAGGAGAAGAGGACATAGGGGCCAGCCAGCCAGCTAGTCAGCCACAGGAGTAAGGGTGAAAAAAAGGAAAAAAGCCTAGAGACAAAAGGTAATTGGGATAATTTAAGAAAAGTTGTTGAGGGGGAGGCTGGAATGATGGCTCAGAGGTTAAGAGCATTGGTTGCTCTTCCAGAGGTCCTGAGTTCAATTCCCAGCAACCACATGGTGGCTCACAACCATCTGTAATGAGAGCCAATGCCCTCTTCTAGTATGCAGGCAGAATACTGTATACATAATAAATAAATCTTTAAAAAAAAAAAAAGAGGGCAAGGGGAATGTAGACCACTCCACAGCCAATTTTTTTGTCCCTTCAACTCAATACACATATAGGGGTGGGGTGGGTAATTTGCCAACTGTGGTGACTTTATAAGCAAAGAAATATTCCCAGTGACTAAAATGAGGCTGTCAGATGAATGTGGCCTTTAGGCTGGCTTCAGTGTTTGGAAGATCCTTCTCCTTGCTGTCTTTTCTAGGTACCGTGGTGCTCAAGCAGTTGGTTTACATGAAGGAAGAAAGACAGGGTGTGATCTGTCCGGCTACCCAAAGCCTTGGAACCCAAGAAAGTGATGGGCTGAGGCAAGGGACATGAAGGAACTCTAGACTAGGACTTACCTATCATGTGACAGATAGTGTTAAGACCATGGGACCAGGGACTGGAGATATGGCTTAGTGGCTAACAACTTTAGCTGCTCTTCCAGAGAACCTGGGTTCAATTCCCAGCAACCATGTAGCAGCTCACAACTGGATGTAACTCCAGTTCCAGGAGAGCTGATGGCATCTTCTGACCTCTGTAGGCACCAGGCATGTAAGTGGTGCACAGACATACCATACACACCCATACACATAAAATAAAAGGTAAAAGTAAAAATAAAAAAAGAGGGCCAGGTGTGGGAGCACATTTCTTTAGTCCCAGCATTCAGGAGGCAGAGGCTGGCAGATCTCAGTCTGAGGTCAACCTAATCTACATATTGAGCTTAGAACACCTAGGATTATGTTGAGAGTTCCTATCTCAGACAACCAAAACAAAACAAAATGGCAGGCTAAGAGGGGCATTGTTGGCCTGGAGCAAAAAGTCAGGTTAGAGGTGAGGCTTAGCTTCCTGAGGCACCCAGAACAGAAGCACTCAGGTAGTGTCTCCATAGGTGAGGTCCAGGGCCACCCTGTCCATGGAGTATACAGGGTTTCCCCTCAGGCCTTGCTCACCTTGAGTCTACCCTCTGCTGCTGTTCTCTGGAGAGGCTGGCTTACCTGCTGTCTAGCAAAGTAATCCTTCACCAAGGAGCCCATGATCTGCTGGGGGGACTTGGCAGTGCAGAGATGGGGGATAACTGGGCGGCCCAGTACCCGCTCAGCATATCTGACCCAACCTAGAGAGAGAGAAAGTGAAACAGAAAGATGAAGAGAAGGAACACATGAGGTCGGCTCCCTCTGCCTCCTCCTGCCTTCTGACTGAGACCATCAGCCCAGACTGAGCCAAGATACCTCCTCTACATTGTCCCTGTTCATAAGGTGTCCTGCTCTACAAATCTGAGTGGGATGGGCCTGCTCACTTCTAGCCAAAGCCAGCCACATCCATTTCTACAGTTCTGGTGAAATGGTGCTAGCAGGCTTGTGCTCACCAGGACAGGCAGAGGTCAACATGGGCAGTTCACGCTGCTCCTCACTGTGCCGGTGATATCGGCGTACAAACTCCTTCTGACTCTCCAGGATGCTGAAATCTGCGGCGATTGTGGTGTCAAATACATAGTGCACCCCTGCAGGAAAGAGGGACATGGCTGTTTCTCTCAGACCAAGTTGGATCCAGATCACAGCTATCATCTAAGTACGATCTGTCTTTCATTTCATATTAAGACAAGGTCTTACTCTGCAGCCTTAATGGGTCCAAGGCTTATTGGGTTATGAAGACTAGGCTAGCCTTGAACTTGTAATGATCTGTCTGATTCCCAAGTGCTATGATTAAAATCATGGACAATAACACTCGACTTTTTATGATGTTATTTTTTTTTTTTTTGGTTTTTCGAGACAGGGTTTCTCTGTGGCTTTGGAGGCTGTCCGGGAACTCACTTGGTAGTCCAGGCTGGTCTCGAACTCACAGAGATCTGCCTGCCTCTGCCTCCCGAGTGCTGGGATTAAAGGCGTGCGCCACCAACGCCCGGCTATGATGTTATTTTTTAAAAGAGTTTATTATGCATACAGCGTTCTGCCTGCAGGCCAGAAGAGGGCACCAGATCTCATTATAGATGGTTGTGAGCCACCATGTGGTTGCTGGGGATTGAACTCAGGACCTCTGGAAGAGCAGGTAGTGCTCTTAACCTCTGAGCCAGATCTCCAGCCCCTTATGATGTTATTTTTAAGAAGGTCTCTCTACATAGCCCAATGTAGGGAGAGATCTTAGGTACCTGTAGTACTGACCACTCCCGTTTGGGCGTGGTCACAGGTATGTAGAAGATTGGGGGGGGATAAAGAGGAAGGGGACTCGCTCTCTCTTGGGATTCCGGTCAGGTCTTAGAGAGCAATGGAGCACTGACCTTGAGTTCTTGGCTTTTCATGTAAGTGATTTCTCCCCAATAAAATATCATACGACATCCCTATCCTGTGTAGGTTAATCTTCCTCAATAGCCCAGGTTGGTCATAAAGTTGGAAATCCTACCAACTCAGGCTTCTGAATGCTAGCGTTATAGGTAAACACAACCATCCCCAGCTTTTGAACACCCTAATTCTTCCTCAGCTTGGCCTTCTCCTGCTTCATACACAAACACAGATCACAGATTTGATGGCACCTGTATCTTTTTTTTTTTTTTTTTTTTTTTTTTTTTTGGTTTTAGGAGACAGGGTTTCTCTGTATTGTTTTGGAGGCTGTTGATCCAGCCCGGCCTCAAACTCACAGAGATCTGCCTGCCTCTGCCTCCCGAGTGCTGGGATTAAAGCACCTGTATCTTCTTACCACCACCACAGTTAGTCTTGAAACTTTGCTTATAACAGTGGCCTGGTTCACATTGGGCACTTGCTTATTGTTTGAAACAAAGTCTTGCTATATAGTCCTGACCAGCCTGGAACTCATAGATGATCCTCTTGCCTCTGCTTCTTGAGTGCTACTTATAGATGTGCTACCAGATCTTTCCGATCTCGCTTTTATGGATGGTGTTGGGCAATGAATTTACACCAGCAATCTCCTGTATTGGAGAGAGTCTTTACTTGCTGAACCATTTTGATGGCCCTATGCCTTACTTTTTGAGATACTTTTCTCATGGAACAGAAGTTTGCTATTCTGGCTAGACTGGCTAGCAAAGGACCCCCTGAAATCTACCTGCCTCAGCTTTTCCAGTGCTAGAGTTACAGGAGTTGGCTGCCATGCCTAGATTTTTTTTTCCAGATAGGGTCTCACTATATATCTGTGGATGGCCTAATACTTACCATGTAGACCAAGCTGACCTTGAACTCACAGAGATCCTCCTGCTTCTGCCTCCTAAGTGCTGGGATTAAAGGTATGTGCCCTAATGAAACAAATTACCACCTTTCATTCCTCATATAAAGAACATATGCCTGGGGCTAGAGATATAAGTGAATGCTACATCTTACCTAGCTAGAAAAAGGTTCTTAGGAAAATAGACATTAGTCATTGCAGAAATAATTATCAAATACTCATTCTGTGAACTGGAGGCAAGCATAGGAGCCTCCTAGTAATCACTGTCTACACTGTCAGCAGGGGTTCACTTCTTACTACAGACCCATCAACCTCATTGTAACAAAACATCTATCTGCACATGGCACAGTGTATGTGACACCCACTTACACTAGTAGGAAGCTGGACTCATGACACAAGGAATGGGGTCCTTTGACATTCCAGGAGTTTCTCTGAAGTTTTTCTATCCTGTGCTCTTGAAAATTGAACTTGAAAAATAAAAAGGGCCCTTCATGAACTGAAAGTAGACACCTACAGTATAATAAAAAAAAAGTAAACGGCTGGGCTGTGGTGGCACACACCTTTAAACGAAGTACTTGAAAGGCAGAGGTAGGCAGATTTCTGTGAGTTTGAGACCAGCCTGGTTTACAAAGTGAGTTCCAGGACAGGCAGGGTTACAAGGAAAACACATCTCAAAAAGTGAAAAAGCAAATACATAAATTAATAATAAAAAAAATTTAAGAAGTGACTGACTCACCAAGACTTTTGAGGAAGCCACAGAGTCTTCTGGATGCATCAGTGACACTGAGGTTGAATTTAGCAGCAAAATAAGGCAGAGACTGAGGACACACAGACGCAACCAGCACTCTATGCTTTGAGGTGTCACATTTCTAGAAGGAAAAACAGTAACGTCACATGTGTATTGATTGCATCAGAAGCAAAGTAAGGCCCTTAATGGAAAATTCATAGTAAATGAAATTTTGTAGCTCTGGCTGTCCTGGAACTCACTCAATAGACCAGGCTAGCCTGGAACTCAGAGATTCACCTGCCTCTGCCTCCAAAGGCATGCACCACCACAGCCCAGCAAAACATAAAAGTTTTAAAACATGTTTAAGAACAAAAAGAAAGGAAAAGAAAAGAATGTAGGCCATAGAGCAAGTTCTAGGACAGCCAGGACTACACAGAGAAGAAAAACCCTGTCTTGAAAAACAAACAAACAAACAAAAAAGATGCATAGGATCTTGGTGTGGTGGTGAGTGGCTGAAGTAATCTTATCACTCAGGAGTTGGGAGGCAGGAGGATCAACAGCATATCTCTATGCCTAGGCTTCCAGCATTGTCTATGAGGCTTCAGATGGGGCTCATTATCTACAGGTGAAATGCAGGATGACCGGGATATCTACAATACAGTCCTAACAAAATCCAATCTAGAAGTAAACTTAAAAGCATTTCCATGGCCTGACGGATTTTGAACTTGGAATTCTCCTGCCTCAGTTTCCCAGTATTTGGAATTACAGCCCTTACCATCAGTTTCAGCTGACACCATACCTTGTTAAGATTTAAGACGTGGAAGAAGTCCTTGGCACTCTGCTGGGAAAGCTGGACTCCTTCCTCCACAGTCACACAGCTGTCACATGCCAGGCAGTCACTCAGAAAAATCTTAGCATCTGCCAACTTATGGAATTCTCCCTTCTAGGAAAGAAAATGGTGTTAACATTGTGTCCTTTCATTTTTTTAAGGTTTTTTTGAGACAGGGTTTCTCTGTGTAGTCCCGGCTGTCCTAGAATTCAATGTGTAGACCAAGCTGGCCTCAAACTCAGAGATCCACCTGTTTTTGTTTGTTTTTCTGTTTTTGTTTCTGCTTTTTTCTTTTTCTTTCTTTCTTTTTTTTTTTTTTTTTTGTATTTTTGGTAGCACTGTTTCCATGGGGAGGGTAATTGTACAAGCACAATAAAGAAAAGAATCTACACTTAACATGGAGACAAAGTCAGGCCAGAGGTGTCAGGAGGTGCTACTAGGCAATAGTCTCTGTTCTGAACAGCTCATGGCAGTGGAGACACAAGGCCCTCAGTAGCTCTTAGGATCATGCAGATGACACTCAAGGGTGAACTAGCCCCAGTGTTATCTTGTGGAAAGATGATATCCCTGGCTGCTGCAAACTGGTCTGATGGTCATCTCCTCCTCCTCCTCTTCCACCCTTCCTCTCCAGTGCTTGTGAATGAGTCTCAGGTTTCCCTGCCCAGCTCTCCCAGCTCCACACAGTTGACCAAACTTTCCATACAGTCATAACTGGCTTGAGGTTTCCACCTGTGTGCAATACAGACATCAGCTCCTTGCTGCTCATTTATATCTGCCTCTGTAGAGTGTAGCCTTCCCCGCCATCCACCTGGGCCCTGCCACAGTTGCAGTCCCCAAACAACACACAGGACGCTACATTAATTATAAGCTGTTGGCCGTTTGATTGTTTCTTACTGGCTAGCTCTGACTTAAGTATTTAACCCATAATTGTTAATATAAGTATTTCTCCTACAGGAGAAAGGGGTCCGGACCTCTTACTCCTCTGGAGGCTACATCGTGATTGACTCTGCCTCTCTTTCCCAGAATCCTCCTTGACTCCTAGTCCTATCTATCTTGCTTCCCTATTGGCCAACAGTGCTTTAGTCAACAACCAATAAGAGACAGATTTACAGAATGCCATCTCCTATCATGCCTCAATAAAGAAGTCTGAACACCTGGATGCTGGGACTCTATGTAACACCCCCCTACACCATGCCCTACCTGGCCCTTTTTAGTTCCCAGAGAAATCTACCAAAGCACAAACCACGTTTCCACTGCTCAAAGACCCTGACAGCACTCTCAGAATAGGATCCACAGCATAGCTTTTGCCTTGCCTGTCCTGCCCTGCCCAGGGGCTCACACTCAGCCACAAAAAAACCCACACTAAACTGCCCAGGTGCTAGTTAGACTCTGTTCAAGCTTATCTCATCCTTACCAGAGCCCTGGGAGGGAAGAAACCCAACTCCCCACAACACTGATAAGAAATAGAGCCTCACCTCTTCTGTGTGCAGGCAAACATGCAGGCAGCACACTGTGTACATAATAAATAAATCTTAAAAAAAAAAGAAAGAAATGGGGCCTTCAGGGTTGTTGGATTTTTTTTTTTGAATTTTTTTTTTTGAGACAGAATTTTGCTGTGTAGTCTAGATAGGCCTCAAACTCATGACACACTGCCGCTACTTCTCAGGTATGTACTAGCATGCCAAAGGGATTAGATTTCTTTCCAAAGTCATGAAACAGAGTACAGACATTAGGAAACAGTCCTGGTGTCTAAAGCACTGGCCCAAACTGACCCAGGACTCCAGGGGCCACTGCTCCTGACGCATTGCTATGTCCCAAAGGCTTAGTCTCCAAAGCACAGTAATGACACACAGAGAACCAGAACTATGCCCAATACATCAGAACTACTAAATCAAAGAGGAAAATCCTGCCACCTACTTCTCCCATGCTATTAATTCTCCACTTATAAAAACAAAAACTTGTTTTGGTTTGGCTTTTTTTACACTGACTGATTGCTGGGTTGCTTACTAGTGTGTGGTGGTGCCAGTGGGAAGCTCGAGCAATAAGCATACATGTTGGTGTAGAGGTACAAAGGCAACTTGTGAAAGCTGGTTCTCTTCTGTCATCTGTGGGTTCAAACGTCACACATAGGTCCTCCGGAGCAAACTGACATCCTGAGGCTTGGTGATAAGTGTCTTTACTGGCTGAGCTATCTAACTAGCTCTAAAACCAATTTGCTTGTTTGTGATTAAGCTTAAGCCTCAGGTTAGCTAGCCATCAGTTGACTTAAATCTTTAGCCCTCAGTTATTGTTTTTGAGACAAGGCTTCAGTGTATAGCTTAGACTGGGACTCCAGTGGTATGCCACCATGCCTGACTAGTCCTAATATTTTCTAAGAGAACAGTGACTGTAACTTTCTCTGTGAATCCAGAACACGGCAGGACAGATGCAGAGGCAAACTACCCCTCAGAGCATGAAATAAGGTAGTCACGAAACCAGCCCAGAGCGAGTGTGATACAGTAAATGCAAATAAGCATCACTATGAGCTAAAACAAGAACAGAACTGAAGAAGCAGCCATTTAGACAGCAAGCTCAAAGACTCATAAACATGACTTACGTCTTCTCACATGCCACGAATCTAAGTTCCTCCCATTTTACAGAATACAGGCTTCAACAGTGCACCGGGATGTCCCTGTTTCTCATGGAGTACCTGGCCTGGTATGTCTGAGGTGACTCAAGGCTGTCCTGTACATGACCCTTCCCGTTTTTTACTTCAATCTTTCTTAGAGCAGTGAAGCGAACAGGAGAAAGCAGCAGCAGCAGCCCTGCTCACATCAGGCTGACACAATCTGAAATGTTTACTTGCCTCTTCATTCTCCTGGGCTGGACTTGATGCACCAACGGACACATTCTCCTGGTCATCAGTTTTTGATTTTTTACTACATTCCTTAAAAAAAATGTGAGGGTGGGAGAGGACAAGGAAATGTTAGAAAAGAAAATTCTTTTTTTTCTTTATTTTATTCTAGCTTTTTTTCCCCCTAAGATTAGGTCCCTATAGCCCTGGAACTCACTCAAACTTAGAGATCCTCCTGTGTGTACCTCCTGAGTGCTAGAATTTAAAGTGTGTGCTACCATACCAGGTTTAAAACATGAGATAGGTTCTTGATAAATTGCACTCTCTAACTTTGAGTTCATGATCTCCTGCCTCCATCTCGCAAACGCTGGGATCACAGGTGTGTAGCACCAAGCTCAGCCTAGAATAATTTAGTGGGATTTCTCTCCATTACTAAAAAACAAAACATAGCCTGAACGTTAATCTTACCTCTAGAAACCCTTTCCACATAAGTAAAATCATCCATACTTAATGACTGATACACATAAACACACACACACACACACACACACACACACACACACCTCCATCTGCACTGTTTTTTATAAGAACAGAAGTGATATAGCCCTAATGGATTCGAGAACACTTAGATGTGGCTATTCCACATGAATACAAGCGATTCCCCCGAAGGTTGTTCACCATAAGCAGTAAGTTAAAAAGAACAACTTATGGAGTATTTGTATATGATACAATCCCCCCTCAAAAAAAGATTCCTGCACATGCATCACGTGACTATCACCATGTTGGAAAGCAAGTGTGAATGTTATCAGTCATTTCAATCACCTAGTGGAGCAGGACAGACGGGGCTTCCTCTAATTCCTTCTCCACCTGTCCTCATTGATGCTACAAGTATACAAGTTTGTTGTCCTTGCTTTAATGTAAGAGCCGCTCAAACATTTCTGGTCACTTCATTAATCGTTAACTTCCACAACAGCACGGGCCCCAGGACAGTAGCTTCCACAGTGAGGGCGGCGGTGTACCCGCCCGCAGTGGCCCACAGCCAGCTCGCCTCCCACTCGGAGGCAGACAGGTGACGCCTGTCAGAGACTGACTGACAACAGAAAGAAAGGCACACGGCCGAGCCCGACCCTCAGCACAATTCGCAGTCCTGGCTTTCTCCCCCAGTCCCACCGGACACCGCACCCACCTTTCGTGTGCAGTGCTCACACTTCATCTGGAGCGGGACTGGCGGGAGGCCCGACGAGCCTCAGCTGAGTGGAATAAGGAAGACTGGAACCACAGCCGCCTGCCGCGGGCTGGAGAGAGACCGGCGACCCTTTGTTGTCTTCATCCGCGGAGGCCCCGCCCCCAGGACTGTGGTAGACCAATGAGAGAACCGAAACAGGATGAGCCGCACCCATGGACCAATGAGAAGAGTACGAGGCTGGTAGAGCCTACCTACCCCGCCTCCTTCGCCTAGGCCAATGAGAGTGCCAGGAAGTGGCAGGTCCCTTTCAGCAGCCAATCAGAAAGTGGGGGAGGAGCTTGTCCTTGAGCTGGAAGTTGACCGGCCGGGACGTACTCCCCTGTTAGTTTTTGCCTGGTTAGTTAAGGTCTGTAGTGAGAGCGGCAACGGTAGGTGTATGAGGCAGAAAGAGTGCGCTGACAGAGCGGTGGAGGCCGGACCGCAGCGACGGCAGAGCGCAGAGGCCGCGGCCTGGCCAGCTCAATGAAGTCTGTGTCGTAAGCCGAGCTCCACCGCAGCTCCTCCAGGGCGGGGTAGGCGCCGCCCTCTGCCACCGCCATGACCATCCTGCAAAGACTCACGTAGGCTGGTGCGGCAAAAGTGCACATGCGCAGCAGGCTTGGGTTGCTTTGTGAGCTTGGCTTAAGTCTGGAGGGAAGACTGAAAGTCGGCTGACCTTGAAGTTTGGCATAGTGTTATACTATTTGTCACTTACAATTAAGAAAGCACCAAAATTCTGCACTGCGTGGTGGCTCTCATCTTTAATCCCAACAGAGGCAGGGGGATCTCTGAGTTAGAGGCCAGCCTGGTCTACAGAGGGAGTTCCAGAACAGCCAGAGTTACACAGAGAAACCTTTCTCTAGAAACTGAAACAAACCAGAAAAGCCTTTTCTTTGTTAAAATTGATTTAACTAACTTTACTAACCTTGCTTTTTTGGCTTCTGAAATTCTGCTTCTGGCTAACTGTTCTTGTTAACTGAAGTGTGTCAACCCAGAATATGTTTTTTGTACTTAAACTTTCAGCCTGAGAAAGGCTTGGGGCTACACTGGAATCCTGAATACACAGTGTAGTCACCTAATAAGATTTTCTATTGGTTTAAACCTGTGTCTAAGCATCATCTCTGGTGGATACCCCACAACACTAGGGCAGGCAATCCTTAGACTATTGCGAACCCCTAGACATTCCCCTGCCTCGTGGTTTCTCAGGGTCCTTCTCCAGTCACCCACCATGATGAACGGACAACGAAGGGCCCTTTAGCTCGTTAAACAATAATAAAAGACTCTTTGCTTTTGCATCGAAAGGGGCCTCTTGGTGATTTTGGGAGTTCAAAATTTGGGCACAACAGCATGACTACATTAATCCTATCACAAACAAAAACAAAGAGGTTGAGGTAGGAGGACAGTTAATTTCAGTTAACCTTGGTTTACAAAGTGAGTAAAATCTACAAAGGTAGATTTTATTTTAGCTCATTGTTTTTTGTTTTTTTTTTTTTTAAGACAGGGTTTCTCTGTGTAGCTTTGGAGTCTGTCCTGGAACTAACTCTGTAGACCAGGCTGGCCTCGAATAGCTCATTGTTTTTAATTTTTAAGATTTATTTTGTTTTACATGCATCATGTTTCACCTACATGTATGTATCTAGACCGGGCTGCATGCATCCCTGGTACCTGGGGATGTCCTAAGAGGATTGAGAGTTTTCATCTAAGTCCTGGAAACCAAACCCCAGGTCTTCTGTAAAACAACAAATGTTCTTGATCACTGAGTCAACTCTCTAGCCCTGATTTGTTTGTGTATTTCTGGCTGGTCTAGAATTCTGGGTTCCAGTGCCTTGGTTCTCCCTGCCCTGTTGGTCTTCTTTTGTCTCCCTCTCTTCTCTTCCTCGTTTGCTCTGCCCCTCTCTCTTTCCTCTCATGGCTCAGTCTGTTCTGCTGGCCATGTTCACTCTGGCCTCTTCCAGAAGCCTTTGGCTGTGCTTTCCCTCATATCTATAATGAAAACCTCTTCAAACTTCATTTATTTCACATCTTTTGTAAAATTGTACAATCCAGGTAGTCAGTGTTTCCCCTGCTGTCCTAGTATAACCTCTTTATCATTTCCTTAAAACTCCAGAACCAACCATGGTGGCACATGCCTTTAGTCACAGCACTCGAGAGGCAGAGGCAGGTGAATCTGAGTTCGAGGCCAGCCTGGTCTACAGAGGGAGTTTCAGGACAGCCAGAGCTACACAGAGAAACCCTGTCTCCTTAAGTCAATAAATAAACAAATAGATAAATTGAAGGGAGCAGGCAAAAGCACTTCAAATAGATAGATGGTAGACAGACAAAGGGAATAGGCAAAAGCACCTTGCCCAGATTTATTGCCCTTTTGACTTCAGACTCCATTTTACCTGTAGGGTGAAACAGAGTTCAAGTTCCCAAGCCCCAGAGTTGCTGAGAACCTTTCAGTTGCTGAGAACCTCCTCCTTAAACTGTAGAAATGGTCGGTATGCATCTTTAGCTCTCTAGATGGCTGTTCCTAACAACAGAAGAAACAAATGAATCCGATTGGTTGGACTGAAAAGCTTGCATTGTATGTGTTGACAGTGATGAACACTCAAGGAAGCCCCTAATCTCTAAATCCTTATTAGTGAAAACTGTAACTGTAACATGGCAACAAATGTGGGTTTTTGGCTTAAATACTTGCTTCAACTGGCATTTGGTGTGGCGGCTCAGCTCCAGAGTCTGTTCTGTGGTCCGATTGATCCATCGGCCCCATCCCCTTCACCCCTTCTGTTTTCTTTTTTGGTTTTTCGAGACAGAGTTTCTCTGTGTAGCTTTGGAGCCTGTCCTGGAACTCGCTCTGTAACCCAAGCTGGCCTCGAACTCAAGAAATCTGCCTGCCTCTGCCTCCTGAGTGCTGGGAGTAAAGGTGTGCAACACCACCACCCGGTTTCTTTTGTGCTGCCCCGTATTAAACCTTGCCATGAGTTAACCCCTAGTGTCTGCTTGGGTTGATTCAGAGACTCGGACCACAACAAAATGAATAAATAAACAAATAGACTCCGATCCATTACTAAGGCTCCTAAGCCACTGCGACAAGCTGCATGGTAGAACACCGCCCGTGAGTGATGCTATCTTTGGCAGGTCGGAGGTTAAATTCAGGCGCCCCATCGACTGTGCCCGCCCTCCAGTGCCAGGCCCCGCCCCCGCGAGTGCGGAAACAGAGGCACAACTCCGGAATGCGTAATTACTCAGTCTCCACCCCTCGGAAGTGCCCACCTGGTTCTTAGCCCGGAAGTCCTTGGGACTGAAGTCCGGAAGTTCGAGAAGCTGTTCCCTAGTCCCTTCCCGCTAATTCGGTACGAGTCACTTAGAGCCCGCGCAAGTGTGTGTCCCAAAGCTTTTCTGGTTCCGTCTCGCAGTGCTTTCCGTTCTCATGTTCGTGCCCTGTGCGGGTCATTGCTTGCGGACCTGGATCGGGCGCACGGCAGATTGAGCAAACTGGGCGTGTGCACTCTGGAGGAGCGAGCATAACGGGCCTCTTGTGGAGCTGGTTGGTAACTGAGGTCAGAGGGTGGCAAGTTGTGTGCCCAACTAGGATTTTAAAGTATGTAGGGTACGATGCTCTTGGGTATCTAAGCCACTCAAGACTGGGGCTTTGGGCGTTGTCTCCAGGGGTCTTGCCGTAGTGTCCCATTAATTCGGATGCATTTGGGCCATAGTTAGTATGATGGTAGAAACTCAGATACAGTGACACTTTCAGTTCCCTTTCTTTATGGGAAGAGGAGTTTCTGGAAGATTCGGGTAAGGTGCCGGAAGCCTGGGGGCTAACAGAACAACTTCAAGACGAGGATTCGGTTAAGGAAAGGATTCCCAGATATGACTGTGACTTGGAAGTGAGACCAGGCTTCACTTTCTGGACTGTGTAGTCCCTGTGCCCGCATATAATTGTGAGTTGAGACGGTCTCGTGGATAAAGGAGTTCAGGGTCGCTGTGCACCTTCCCCTGGCCTCCTGTCCAGACTGATGAGGTGGTGCCTGTGTGCAGTGGTTGCAGGCTTCATCCGTGTGTCTTTCCCAGCCGGGTCTGCTGTGAAGTGAAGCCCAGGTTCCAGGGATGTACATGCAGGTGGAGACACGAACCAGCACCCGCCTCCATCTGACGAGGGCTCCAGGCATCCGGTCTTGGTCCCTGCTGGTCGGTAAGGTTTCTCAGCTTTTCCCAAGTCAAATCTTAAAAGTGATGTGAACAGTTTCTCTGTATTCTGTTGGAGGTTCTTCTCAATATAAGACCTTGGTAAAGCATGCTTCATTAACCTTGATGTGCCTTTCCTTTCAGATGACATGCAGGGTCCCCTTGCATGCTGGGCAAGCTCTTTTAACAGACATGCACTCCCAGCCTATTTGCTTTCTTGAGGTCACTAGGTTTTCTTCCATGTGACAGGTGATCATGGGTTCACATTTCTCTTCTTCCCTGTCTCCGTCCCCTTCATAAGTGCGTTTAGCCTCCTGGACTCTCTCCCCCATCACTGCCTATCAGAAGTCTCTTGCATCTCAGGGACAGCTGCACTTGTGTTGGCTAGGCTGTACAGAGTCTGAGGTGAGGCACTGGCTGTGACTTCAGCAGCAGCCTCTCTGTAGTCTGTCTTTTATGATTCGTGAAGGTCCTCATGACGTTCTGTGTGTTATACTCTGTGTTGTGTCATCTCTGTGTAGTCCTATCTTCGTTCCTCATCACATGTAGGCAATACTGACATCTGGGTTATTTGCATTTTTCATTTGGTTGCAGACAAGGCTGGTGAATTCCATGGAAACAATAACCTGTTTATTTTTTTATTATGTGTGTATGTATATCTATGTAAGGATCTGTGCAGGTGCATATAGGTGCCTGTGGAGTCCAAAAGAGTGTTAGATCCCTGAAGCTGAAGTTACATAAGGTTGTGAATGGCCTGCAGGTGCCAAATGGTGGACTTTCTTTGGGCTGCCAGTTCACAAATAAACGAAATGGAAATTTCTTATTATGAAAGTTTGGCATTTAGCTTAGGCTTGTCCCCAACTAGCTCCTATAACTTAAATTAACCCACTTCTATTCATCTACATTCTGCCATGAGGCTTTTTTCTGTAAATAATTTATTTAAGTTTATTTTATGTGCACTGGTGTAAAGGTGTCAGATTCCACTGTAACTGGATTTACAGACAGCTGTGAGCTGCCATGTGGGTGCTGGGAATTGAACCTGGGTTCTTTGGAAGAACAGCTGGTGCTCCAACCAGTAAGCCATCTCTCCAGCTCCCATGACATTTTTTTTAATCTCTCTTCCATCTGTATGTCTGATTTGGTCCGCATCTTGCTAGGGTCTCTGAGCGCCTAAATTCATCCCAAGTTGCTTTCGCTGCCCAGAAGTCTGGCCTATTTTCTCCTGCATAGCTGTTGGCTATTCAGCTCTTTCTTAAACCAATCACAATGACACATCTTTACACTGTGTGATAAAATAGCCCACAACAGTGTTGAGAACTGAACTGGGTTCTTCTGCAATAGTATATATTCTTAACCAATAAACTGTCTTTCCAGTTCCCCGCTCCCCATTTTTAAGCAAACTTCTTGGCTGTGTCACTAACCCTGCACCAGGTAGCTTCTACCTGCTGCCCCTGAAAAAGCTGTCCTGCTGTGAGACAGGCCTGCTTTTGGGGGCTATAGCACTGTGAAGAAGTGGGACTCTCCTTGACAAGGTAATCCCTCTCTCTCCACAGGAATATTATCCACTGGCTTGGCTGCTGCCTATTATAGTGGAGGTAAAGTATGCTATTCCCATCAACTTCCTTGTACTTGGAAATAAACAAAAAGCAGTGGCATTCCTGGTGTGTGCGGCTTTTGGGGTGGCCTCTGCCATGCCTTGTGTGAGAGATGACTCTAGTCCATGTCTTGCACCTTAAATTTCTTCCTGTTATAAAGTACTCTCGGAAAGAAGCTCTTTAGCATTTATTTGCCTGCCACTTTGCTACAGGGAGAAATTGTATGTCCTACTCTCCATGACAGGGTATATAGATCTACCTATCTCCTAGGTGGACTTAGGCAGAGTTTGGGATGCACATGTCACCAACAACCCAGGCAGATATAGGAACACAGTTGACTAAGCCTGTAATCTGAGCTGAAAGAAGGAAAGGCTGGGCTGGAAGGACCCTCCTGTGGACACATCACTTTGGCTCCTTTAGCTAATAGGTTGATATACTATGTCTGCTTGCAGATAGTCTGGGCTGGAAACTCTTCTACGTCACAGGCTGCCTGTTTGTGGCTGTACAGAACTTGGAGGACTGGGAGGTAAGATGGTATGGTAGCACCTTCCCATGTGAAAGCATCTGTCCTAGTCCAGAGGCACTGGGTCACCTGGACTCAGCCTTTGACTTAGCTTGAAACATTCTGGACTCTTTTAGAAGCTACTCATAACTTTTTTCACAAAGGTTCTGTGTTGTGTATTCTTCTGCAGGCTTGCCTCAAACTCAAAAGTAAGCCTACTGTCTCAGCTTTCTGATAGGCATGAAGCACCACATTCAACTCCCAGAAGTCCTTTTTTTCTGGGGTTGTGTCAACAAGTCTGCATTGTCCCTGGGCTGGACTAGCTGCACAGGGCAGGGACCTGTGAGACCATTCTGCTAACTCAGTTGGACCAGCTTCCAGACCTTGAAGTTCAAGGGTTGGGGGCTTCCTCTGACCAGCCAGGACTTCACTGCAGCCTAAAATAGTTGAAAGAAATCAGCAGAAACTGAGACTGGGAGAAGTCAGGTGGTAGCCTTTGGCTACCCTTAGCCTGGGCCCTTTTAGAATTATTGAAGCTGCCTGGCCTGGGCTTCTGCTTTTTGCTTAGTGGCCTCATTGCCAACCTGTCCTTTTGTTCTTTTATTTACCCAGTACTGAGGGATAAACTTGGGGCCTCAAACCTGCTGGGAAAGTGCTCTACCACTGAGTTAGATACCCTGCCTGGTCTCATTTTCATGCAAAGAGAAAAGGGCACCTACTCCGCCTGCTTTCTCTCGTGTGCCCCTTACCCACAGGTATACAAGAGATCAGGCACAGAAGCTGGCTCTGGAAGAGAGCCGTGGAGGCATTGGGGGTTGGATTTCCACTGGGCATCTTGAGTGTTTGTGCCAGTGTGGGTGGGGATGATGCCTCAGTAATGGCTTGGCCCTCTTCCTGGAGTTGTGTGTGTGGTCAGCATACATTGGTTTGCAGGAAGCCATTTTCAACAAGAGCACTGGGAAGGTCATCTTAAAAACATTCAGCCTCTACAAGAAGCTGCTGACTCTCCTCAGAGCAGGCCATGACCAAGGTAAGATGTGGGGAGTTGCAGTTTGGTGAGGGCTTGGGGAGGTTTGGATGGTTTGCTTGCTCAAGGAATGAGGGATCCCCAGACATATCCCAGCTTGCAGGGTGGGATCCAGGCAGATACCCCATCCTGCATACTTAAAGACTCAGCCTATCAGGAAGCATGGAAACACCTCATTAGCTCTCTGAGGTTGGGTCACTGTGCCAAGCAGACTAGCAGGGAGTCATCCTGTTCTTCAGGGACCACTTGGCCTCTCTAAGACCCAGGTCTTGTACCTGTTTCCTATCAGCTATACTAGTCTGGCAGTGAGAAGATGGTCAGAGGAAGCCCTCAATCCTTGAACTTCCAGGCTTGTGAGCTAGCTTGTGAAGTAACAGAAGGTTCTCATAGGTCTCTTCCCTGTGTATTCAGCCCAGCCATTGTACATTACAAACATGCAAGTAACTGTGTGTGCATCCCATAGGACCCTCAGCAGGCTTTAACACAAGGAGTTAGGCCCCAAGATCATGGAGTGCTAGCAGTATACAGCCAAGTGTAGCATTCGAATGTGGCAGTATACAGCCGATGATGAAGACCAGAGCAGGTTTTTGGGATGAGTTAGTGCACTGGCTGAACTCCCCCAGGCTGCTTGTTGGGAGCCTTGGCACATCTGAGAGCCAGACCCCCACAGATAGCAAGCCACAGGGTCAGTCCCATGCCACTGTGGCAATGGGATGAAATAGGCTTTCCAGTGGCTCTTGGGAATGCATGAGTTAGGCAATGGTTTTCCTGTACAAGGAAATGACAGGGTACCCCACTGGAACCAGATAGGTGTTTCAGCCTTCGGTAAAATCAGGCAAAAAGTAGCATGAAGATGGCAGCTTGGGCTTAGTGATCCCTGCTGTAGATTGCTCAGGACAGCCAGCTTCTGCCTAAAACTGCAGGAGGGATAAGTCTCCTGAGTGTATCCTTATCCAGAAGTTATTCTGGATTCACAGTCTAGAATGCGGAATAGCAAATGCTTTTGTCATTAATGCCACTCCTACTGTTGAGCAGAGCTGGACATCCTGAAACAGGCTGTTCTACAGCATAGGGTGAGAGCATAGGGATGACCACTCATCTGCAAATCCTTCTGTCCCCAGTGGTGGTCCTACTGAGAGACATCCAGGATGTGAATGTGGAGGAGGAAAAGGTCCGTTACTTTGGGAAGGGCTACACTGTGGTACTCCGGTTTGCAACAGGCTTCTCCCACCCCCTTACTCAGAGTGCAGTCATGGGCCGACGCAGGTAAGGGTGGTGTAGAGCAAGACTGGGCTATCCCTTAGTGTTTTTCAGGGCAGCAGGGGAGGAGTTGAATGCTTGTAGACAGGAACATGGGGCTGGAGGAAAGATGTATGCTCTTAGGAGCAGCTTTGCTGTAGATATCTTTGAGGGAGGGGGCAACAAAACAAGGTTGATGTCTGTTAAGAGAAGGACTGAGGCCAGAAGTACTGGGCCTATTTGGGACCCCAGGGGTTGTTGTAGGTGGTAGGGATGAGACAGTGTGGGTCTTTTGTGGTGTGTTATAGAACTGTACCCTTTACCATGGTAACCTGCTTTCTTGGTGCTTGCCTAGTGATGTGGAAGCCATTGCCAAACTCATCACTAGCTTCTTGGAGCTGCACCGCCTGGAGAGCCCCTCAGAACGGTCACAAAGCAGTGACAGTGAAGCTGATGGCCCTGGTGACCAGAGCTGACAGTGTGGAATGGCTGCTAGTAAATGTCACCCACTTCTGACATGTCTCCAACTGACTTGCCAATTGTGAGCATGCAGGCAGATCTTGGACACTTGCCTATGGCTCCTTGGGCAATTCTTGTGTGGACCACCTGCCTTTTGCTTGTTTATGCTTCTACGCTTTGCAGAACCATGGGCTGGATGTCTTCCACAACCCAGAAAGGCTGCCTCTATCATGATGCAGGAGGTGGGTGCTACATCCAGAGGAGGGCAGGATCTCAGAACTCAGTGCCTTCTTCTCCAGAGTCAGACAGCAGTTCTGGCTTAGGCAACCTACTCTGTTTCGGATAAGCTCATGCAAGGGCATCTGAGGTTCAAGATGCCAGTCTTTCTTCAGCATAGGCCTAGGTGCCTGCCTGCCTTCAAGAGGTCTTGCCACCCCAGCCTATTGTAGTGAGAGTGAGACACCCACATGCATGTAAGGTGGACCCTCTCTCTGTGCATAGTGGTGCCGACTTATTGCTATAAATCCTGATGTCTCTTGTCCCCAGTCATATCTCCTCAAAATGGACATTCTTGGTGGTCAGGGGCTTCCCTGAAGACATCTTGGAATGCTGGATGCCTGGGTGCTGCCTGGCTGCAGAATTCTCAGAGAAGAGTGCTGCTGACTGCTCTGTTCCTGCCTAGACCACTTGTCTAAGGTCCCAGCAGTGTTGTAGCACAGCTGTTAGGAACGGAAAGCTCTCCCCAGGTTGAGAGAAGCTTCTAGTGGAGGAAAGGCCACCTCTTCTGGCATCCTGCAGCCTTTAAGACCTGGGAGCTCCTTTACAGAAATCGAGTCTTAGCCTCTCAAGCCTTGGAAAGAAGATAGACATGTGAGACACACCCCTGTAAATCCCAATCTTAAGAAGTGAGGAGTGAAGAACGTTCAAGGCCAGTGCGGGGCTACTGGCTCTCCTAACAGAAGTTGGTACCTGCCGCTGATGGCTCTTTTCTGCTCTTCTAGTTTTCTTCTGAGTGGATTCAAGTCCCTCAAAAGTACTGTATTCACACAGTTTCCAGCTTGGCTTCCAGGCCTGAAAGCTGTGGGCCTCTGGTCTGCACACAGCCTCCCCAAAGCCTGGCCAGGTAGAACTGGAAAACTGAGGAGTTATATAGACAAAGTCAAGGCAGTCTTGAGGTCACTGTACCTAGGCTGAGCAGGAGTAGTTAGGCCAGAACCTTTAACAGGTCTTCTTTGAAGTGACTGTTATCAGCCCCTTGAACATGCCAAAGTGAGCTTTCTAAATGACAAAGTTAGACAGTATTTTTGTTTTCCACAAATGAAAAGGGGAGTACAGCTGTTGGCTTTTGGCTTGTTGCCTACAGACTCTTAAGGTACTTTAGACAAGGGAGAAGAGTCTCTCTCTTGGGTGCTGTCATATATCCTTCCTTCATATACCCTTCCTGTATTTCCCAGTGCTGGGATTCATTCCTGGGTGAAGGAATGAAGCCCTTTTCATAAGTCAGGGGGATGGTAAAAAGCTGATTCAAGTTTCTGTTAGGATTTCTGCTTCTACTGGTCTTTTTATTTCATAATTAATAAAGCTCTACATGCAGATTGCAAATGAGTCTCCATGTGCCTTTTTCTGTTTTCTGCTTTGCTCAAGGTAACTATGCAGTTTGGGAGCAGTCTGGCCACAGCCCCCACATGGCTGGGCACTGAGGCAGGAATCTTGGTGCTATCTGGGCTGATATCCAGAGCTCCAGCCCCTCAGGGGTTCTGACCTGTGTCCCAGTCTGGGCTGGTGGGTGGTGGCAGTGGGGCAGCTGCCTCATCCAGGTCCTGCAATAGACCCTGCAGTCGCTGCAGACTCGGGAGCACATTCTCCTCCAGCCACTCCTCTATGGTGTCTGGGTAGAAAGTCAGCGACAGGGCTGCCTCCAACTGCTGCACAAGGTTGCTCCACCTGCTCAGAAGGCTGAGGGCAACAACAGCCATGAGTTTGACTTGATGAGAATTCCTGCTAAGTCCCAAGTTTACATAGTTAAACTCATGTCCTCAGCTCCTAGAGTAGTACTGGTACATGCCTCAGTTTACCACTGGGATGAAAACGAATGACTGGTCACATTTTTCTCACAGCCATGAACAGGTTGTACTGTTGGCAGCAAGTTGCACTCAGTGCAAGTGTATTCTTATTAGCCTAGCTTAGAGTCCTGAACCAGAAGAGGACAGTGCAGACTGCCTGGGGCTCCGTTCAAAAGGGCACCAGGTGCTCGGCTAGGCCTCAGCGGGGAGTTACAGAGCCAGAACGGACCTTAGGTGACCTGATTCCAAAGATGAGCCGTGGGTCAGCCTGGGCATGTGGCTGATTATCTGTTACAGGCCAGGAATCACTTAGCTTCTTGCTAATATTAGGGTCAGTGTTATTGAGCAGTGGCCTATCAATTCATCCAAGATCTACAGATACAGTACCTGGAGAACTTGTATTGCCATACCTAACACTGTACTGCTACAGTGTGTGTTCACAAAGGGGACAGGGTGTTTGTCCCAGAGGCTGAACACCTGGGAGGATGTGATGATGGTGGCTACCTGAGTGCCTCTGGCTGTATGTGCTGGATCATAACTGGGTGAATAAGCTTCCTCCTGCGATGGTAGGGGCTGAACCAGCCAGTGACAAACCTGGAGCAAATCCAGACAGTGTTAGTGGGCCGGTAGTGGCTAGGAGTGAGCTGTGGGGAAAACTTAAGAATCTGGTAGAAATTTTTAGAAGTCTTTCTAGAAAACCTTTGTAAAGAACAATGCCAGGACAGAGATGGGGTCGCTTACCTGTTCCTTTCCAGAAGCATATCCACAGAGCTGCGCAGGTGGAGACTAATTTGTGTGACGAGGGCATAGATGTCACTGCCAGGGAAGGAGGCAGCTCCCTCACTGCCAGAGAGTCAACACTGAGAATGGTGGTCCCCAGAGGAGGGAGGGAAGGGGAATGTCAGGTAGGATGGTATTACCTCACAGGATCCATTGTTTCCAGGCTTGAAACCCCAAGGAAGTGCTCCACTCGCAGCTTAACGTCTTCACCAAAGCCGCCTGAAACCATCCACAGGCAGAAGTGGTCAGAGAGGCCTCCTGAGCTTTGGGTGCTATGGGCAAAAGGCACAGCATCTCAGGGGGAGCCCCAGCCAGGCTAGCTGGCTGCTTTTCATTGAGCATGTGAAAGACATTTGTTAAAGATCAGGGAGTGGAAATAGGAGTGGTCTTGTAGGTGGCAACACTGTATGGATGAGCCCTTGGCCTCACTACACAGTCCATGTGCAAGTGTCCAGGCTCAGTCATGAGCGGAACACTCTACAGCACCTGAAACAAACTGCCAGGGTGTGAGACCAGGGCAGGCACACCTCCAAGTCAGCACAAAAGGCTGTCACAGGAAGCCATTGACAGACAGTTCTTGGCTCGGTGTTGGGAGGCTTAGGTCCCAGTACAATCACTTCTCAAAAGCCAGGAAGAGTTAAAGCCAACACCACTAACACCAATGCCTCTTCAGTATTGGTTAGGGCTGTCTGCTTATTTCCTTGTCTTTCTGTACATTCTAGACAGTTTACAATGAACAACTGTGTCAGCAAAAAACTAAAACAAGACCACCTCTACATCTTTCCTCTACCCCATGGCTGTTAAAATGTTTTTTGGGGGAGCTTCTTCCCATGTAGGCATCCTTTGAGCATTGTAAATTTCTACATAGCCATAGTTCAAATGGGCATGGTTTATTTCACCAAGGCCCCACTGCCTGCACTTGCTCTGAGCAGTGGGAGCACCCAGTTCTGCAGAGTCTGCCTCACAACTCTCAGGGCACTTAGGCAGCAAAGAGAACCTTCTGCATCTGCATCTGCATCTGTGGCATGAATTTCTTATGTAGGTTTTCTGAATCTGTGGGGCACGTCCGTTCTAACTTCCCAATCTATCTGAGGCTCAGACAATCCTAGATCAGTGGCAGACAAGCAATTAAACAGGCTAGAAATATTAGTGTTCTTCCCCTGTAAAGGACTACAGTCCAGTCAGAGCAGGGCAATGATCAAGGGAAACCAGTACTTGGCCTTCTTTCTTCCTGTCTAGCTAAGGATAGGTAGGAGGCCTAAAACCATTGACTGAGACATACCATGTACAAGTGACTGTAGACAGGCAGCCAAGGATGGGATTCCCACAGGGAGCAGCTCACACAACACAGAAAAGTGGTCGTACCTATGTCCAGAAGGAGAGTATTTAGTTCCACAGCCCTCATTCATCTCAGCATGATGATAACACTCTGATCTGAGGTACTCTTTCTCCTCTTTTGAGGGGTTCCTAGGCTGAGGACCACTATGGGCAGCCTGATGTATCTATTAGCTGGTTCAGGATTCTTACAGTGGGTTCCACGTAGGTTTATTATGGTGCCCCAGGGAGGAGCCTGTGTAGGGGAAATAGGTTCTGAGAACCTGGGTCCACTCTAGTGTACACTGGAGATAGAGCATCTGCAGAGCCTTTATTATCTCTTTTCTAGTACTGGTCTGCCTTCTGGAGGCCTTTCCTGTGGTCTGCATCCTATCCATCCACTTCATGCTTTCCCCCAAGGCCCCAGGAGGTCAACAGGTTGGAGTGGGCATCTGATCCCTCTAGTGCTGGGCAGAGTGCCTCCTTCTGGCCTGGTCTCAGTATCTTCAGCTGTAAGAAGCTAGAGAGATGTTCCTTGAGTGTGTCAGATAAAGGCCAATAGAAGAGCCAGAGGCCAGTGATTACATCACCTCCATCAGTTTCCCTTTTTCTCTGTGAGTCACTAGCCACTTTACAAGGCATAGAAAGGGCTTCACTCTGTGAGTCTTGGTTTAACCCACACCTCAACACACTACTGGAATGGCAAATGCTTGGTAATTCTTCATGAACCATCTAGAATCATCTCTGAAGCCAACCAGTGGACATGTACTGAAGCCATTTTGGACACCTTTCCAGTTCTTCCTAGTGGAGGTGTCAGCTTCAACTGGTCCAGCTCAAACGCTGGAACCTGACACTAGGTAATGGCCAGAACCAAAGACTGGGCTCATCCTATTTTTCAAAGGGTGTGACATCCTAAAAGAACCAGGACTAATCTTCATGCCCCGCTACATATGAGACATATGGTATCACTCATGGGATATGCAGACCACAGAGACTAGATGGCTGCATGCTTGTGGTTCTGAGCACTCCAGTGCGTCTTCAGTAGAGTTAATGAGGTAGCCATGAGTGCATGAAGAGCATGATTTGGGAAGGCACAAGGCTAACACTAGACAGGTTGCCATCACGGATGATGGGAACTGTCCCCCGCTCCCCACACCCAGCCTCTGAGAGCTCACCTCTGCCAGCCAGTTAAGATGATTCCTTGCAGACTATCCACTGGCCCACTGCCTGCCACCTGTAGCCACTGCTCATGGTTTCTAATGTGATGCTCAACAGGGGGTAGGGCCTGACTAGCCCCTGTTGCCCCCTTGAAGGCACTGGCAGCCCACAGCCTCTGGAAGCCACACTCTTGGTACTTTCCCATGAGGAAGACTAGGCAAGAGAACAAGCAGATGAACAGCTTTCACAGAGACTCTGAATACACAGCCTAACCAGAACAGCCCAGAGTCATGACCATCCTAGCAGAGAGAGACCCCAAGCATTCCCATAAGGCCTGTAGTTTATCACTCATGGGGAATAAACACTTTGGGAAGGGCTGGAAAGAACCTGGGATGATCTGGAGCCAGCAGAGGATCCCATGCCAGGACAGGAGGCTTTGTATGGCCTTTCTGTTCCATGCTGGTCAGCCAAGCTAATGAGGTGCCTGTATTCCCAAGCTGAACAGTTCAGGTTACAGGGTCACGGAGGACTGGGAAACAATCATGCAGGCACATGCACCATGAGGAATGTAGCGTGATCAACCTGTACTGACTTTTGCTGTGGACATCCAGGTCAGCTCCATAGTCCCAGAGCACAGGTTCCACCAGTTGAGGCACCCCAGATGCTGTCAACAAAGCAAGGCTATGAGTGTGGGCAGGACCACTCAGATCACACCCCTGCTCCTTAGACATATTTGTTTTATACAGAGGTCTCACTTTGCTGTTCATATTGGCCTTGAACTCCAATCCTCCTGCCTCAGTCTTCCAAGTACTGAGATTATAGTCATATGCCACTGTGCTCACCTCTGGCACATTCTTTTAATGTTAAAGTGGGAACATAAGCCATTTTCTCAGGTCTAGCGGGTTTTAAGTACAGCTTGCAGCTGTGCTAGGTTTTTGGTCATAAACACCAGAGCTACAAATGGTGTTTGTAGCTGCCTGCTTTTATGAGGAGGGACTCCTAAGCTCTTCTCCAAGCTGAAGAACAACCAGAAGACATCTCTAACAGGAGCTGATTCTAACTCATTAATGTAAAACATACACTAGCCTCAGACAGCGTAAGTACAGCTGGCCCTGGATCTTTGCACTAAACCTCAGTGTTCAGTGGAGCTAGGCATTTAAGTGCTGTCTCTCAGGCTAGGGAAAGTATTCCTCAGCTTTCATCTCCAAGCTTTGGAACAGTGTGAACTTTGGCCCTAGCATCTACAAGCTGGCTACAGAGTGCACATGGGGCTAACCCTTACAGAAGCACTGGACACTCCCATGGCCCCTCTGGGCCTCCAGTAGCCACACATTTTCTGGTACACACTCCTGCAAGGCTGTACAGTGACTTGAGGAGACAGACTAAACCCAGTATTTTCACTGGAGAACACATTAAGAGCTCACTGCCAAGGCCTCTGGAACTTGAGGCCTTGGGCAGTCACATATAAGCCCCCATCAATACAGCCCCTGCCAACCTTTTAGCTGTTCCTGGGGGATGTCCCGTAGCATGTCATCCCACACCAAGGGTGTTGTGCCAGGGTACTGCGCCAGCACATGGCTGGCCACTGCCTGCATGTGGGACAGACACAATTTTGCGTGGCTGTTCTGTTCCTGCTGTAGCCACTGTTTTGAGGTCTCTCCCTCGCCCAAGTAGTAGACCTAGGAGGAAGAAACAAGATAGGATTGCATCTGTTGCCATCCTTACATCCACAGGGTTCACGCTTGTCCTGAATCTTGGGGTTGCTGCAAATACAAAGGAGACTAAGAAAGAAGCTCAGCTTCCCCAGTCTCCACAGGAAGACTGCCTTTCTTAGACTGGATTCACCTGTGGGTTCTAAGCAGCTCTGCGCAGGTCACTAAGAAGCAGGACAACCCCATTAACTCACTGAAGGGTGGATGTGGATGAGTCTCATTGTGCCATGGTTATTCCTGACACGTGTGAATGCTGATGGGCCTTGTCCTACACTCAAAATGGGAGTGAAAAAGCCAGACACAGAAGGCAACGTGTAGTGTAATTCCATCTGTGAAATGTACATACACATGTACACACACACACATACATTTTTTCCTGAGACAGGGATTCACACATAGATTATAGATTACATTATTACTCCTTTTCCTCTTCTTTTTATTATTTTGTGGGCATTGATGTTTTGCCTGCATGTATGTCTGTGTGAGGGTGTCAGATCCCCTGGAACCGAGTCACACACAGTTGTGAGCTTCCGGGAACTGAGCATAGGTCCTCTGGAAGAGCAGCCAGTAATTGTAACCACTGAGCCATCACTCTAGCCACCCCCCTTCTTCTTTTTGGAGGTAGGGTTTCATGTAGCCTAGTTTGGCTTGTAATTCCTTATGCTGTAAAGGTTGCTATATTACAAGTACATTATCATCATACCTTACTTTCAGATTTCCTTATTTTGAGATACCACAGCCCAAGCTGACCTAGAACTCACTGTGTAGCCCAGGCTGGTCTCAAATCTATGGCAAGTCTCTTGCCCTAGCCTCCAAGTGCTAGGATTACAGGTGTCAGGCACCATGTCCAGCTCTGATTTCCTTTGAAAAATGGAAATCTCAGGGTTGAATGCCTACAAACCCAGGCAGTGGGTTTGTCTCAGACCCTCTCCAGTCCTGCCCACACATCTGGAATCAAGCCAGAGAAGCAGAGGGATAGAGCTAGCCACTGGGTAGGCTAGGTAGGAAGATACCCCAGGGGAATACTTTTCCCAAATAGTGCTTCAAGATACAAACACAACACTTTCTTCTTCTCCACACCTCAAACTGCACTTCTTTGGCTAGGGCAGTCTGGAAGGGCATGGATTTGCTCATGGCTGGGACTGGCTCTGTCCCTGCAGGAAGAGGAGCTAAAGAAGCCTGTTCTAGATGGTAGTGACATCTGGTACACAGGGTACCTTATTTGGGCTATGCAGGACTGCTCTATGCCAAGTGACACTCCTCTCCAGAGGCGTCATCTAGAATGGTTCCCTAAATAGAACTATCTCTTTGGCAATCCCCACCTTTATTCTTTGGTATTTGGACTATTTCTCTATTTAAAAGAATCCATAGGGCCTGGCATGGTGGCACATGCCTATAATTCTAAGGTTTAGTAAGTTGAGACAGAAGTATCAAAAGTTCAAACCAGCCTGGGTGATGTAATGAAACTGCATCTCAAAAAATTTTTTAAATTATTAAACCAACCAAATCAAAAGAAAACAAAGAGGAGGCTGATTACCACCACCCACAAGGTGGCTCACAACTGTTGGGCCCCAGCCCCATGGGGTCTCTGTGAGTTGCTGGTCAGCCTACAAGTACAACTTGTTTTCCAGTCCAAGTGGTTCCTGTTTTCTAGTCCTGGCTTACTGCCCTGGCCTTGACCCTCTGACATTAACATCCAGCAGGAGGAAAACAACGATCTCTTCTACCTGGGGTTTTTTCCACTGTGCTTGTATAAAAAGCTCCTCCCTCCTACAAGGGAGAGACCTGTTAGCACTTGCAATGAAGACACACATACACACTCTCCTGGCTATAAAGGCAGCACATGCATTCTCTTAGTACAAACAGTTTGTACGTCTGGTCTCTCTTTTCCTGATACCTCGGACCTAGCTTGTGGCGCAGCAATTGGAGTTTCCACACACAACCATCTGTAATTCCAGTCCCAGGTGATCCAGACACCCTCTTCTGGCCCCACCAGGGGCACCAGGCACACATAGACATGTTCCACAGATATACATGCAGGAAAAATACCCATACACATAAAATAAATAAGCAAATAAATAAATTCAAAAAAGACAGAAGTCATGACACGGGACAGGGTGGCTTTGAAGAAAAGAGGTGCAGACCTTGAGAAGAAAGGCACTCACCTCATCACAGCCAATGTGGAGCCACCGGACACCCCTGTGTAGCTCCAGAATCTGGTCAATCATGTCTTTTACCAATGCCAGAGACTCAGCCTCGTGAGGGTTCAGGGTGTTGGGGAAGAGAGCCACTTCACGGAGATGTGCAAATGCTGCGTGCTTTAGCACAAACTGTGGAGAGAGACAAGGACAGAGGGAAGCTGATGCTTACAGACCCCAGTCCCCTTCATGTCCTCAGCAACAGTTCCAAGCTTATGTTGCTTAGCTTGACAGTGTATCTGAGGGACAGCTGGGTGGTCTCTTCCAGATGTCTCAGCTAAGACAATCTTCAGAGCCTACAGGGCAGTAGCTTTTCACTCTGCCTGAGCTGAGCTCTAAACCCTCTAGCTGGTTCCTCAGCAGCCCTCATCCCTTCTGGAGGCCCTTCCCTATTTCTCTCCCCTCCTCCTCATTCCCTCCCTCCGTGGTGTTTGGACTTTAACTTAAAGCCTTGCATGTGCTAAGTAAGTTATTTTCCACTGTGCATCTCTACCTTCTTTTTACTTGCATGGGTGTTTTGCTTATTAGGTTAGGAATCTGTGGAACTGGAGCTGCAGGCGGTTTTGAGCTGCCTTGTGGGTGCTGGGAATCAAACCTTGGTTCTCTGGAAGAGCAGCCAGTGCTCTTATCAGTCCTAGTCTTTCCAGTCCTTTTTTTTTTTTTTTTTTTAATTTTAGAGGAGTGAATGCAGTTGCATCCTGCAAGCGATTAAATCAACACCATGTTTGCTTCTCATTTGTCTCACATATGAGAAATAATTTTGAATACTAATAGAAAGACACAGGCAGAAAATGGAAGGCTTCCTTCCTTCCCGGCAAAGCTGTCCTGACAGTTGTGTTCTCTGGCTGCTTACAGGTTGGTGCTTCTGAGATCAGGCTCAGGCAGCACAGAGTTGCTGCTGCCTATGCCCTGTCAGGCCCTGTTGCCTCACATTGGAGCCCAAGCCCAGTCTCTGAACCCCACACCTATACTAGGGATTTCCACTCCTCCCACTTACCTCCATGTGTCCGAATGTCTGCACCAAGGGAACAACTTCCAGCTCACTGAGTCTGGCCAGGCGCAGGATCTCTGTAACTTCAGAGGGGCTGGGGTGATAGAAAAGAGTACACAGAGGTTTGTGTCAGTTCAGTCCAGTCCTTTTTTTCCTCTCTGCATCTTACATGAACTAGCCACTGAGTCATCCTGCACAACAGGGGTTGGCAGACTGACCCAAGAGCAAAATTTGTCTATCGCTCAGTTGCTTTTGTACAGCCTTGAACCTAAGAAAGGGTCTCTTCAGCTTCCCCTATCCCCCACTTCACTGGAAAGCAGCAGAGCACAGAGAGAGGGCAAATCCACACAGGTACAGATGTGCCGGAGAACTGCCATACTGCCCTCTAGCATGGTGGCCACTGCACATTCCAGCAGCAGGAGGCTTGCTTTTCCTCTTCCCGCCATCACAGAACGTTGTCTTTAGTTTGTTTGGGATTTTTTGAAACAGGATGGCAGTCCATTCTCGTGCCTGAGCCAGGCAAGACTAGTATTATAGGCAGCTATCACCATGCCTAACTAGAGAATCATCAATGACCACATCTATACTGCCGTGACCTGCTTGGGATCAAACCCAATATCTTACGTATTCTAGGCAAGCACTCGACCACCGAGCTGCATACCCAGCTTCACCAATTCAGTAGCTAAAATGACATTGCAAAGTTGTTTTAATCTTGATTTCTATGACAGGTGTAGTATTTTCCCATTTGCTTGTGCATTCCAAGGTTAAAATCAAACTGTGAGAAACTGGGGAGAGATCATTCAGTGGTTGAAATGCCTGTTGCATAAGCAAGAGAACTAGAGCTCAGATTCCCAGATTCCAGGTAAATGCACAGTGGCCCACCTATAATTCCAGTACTCAGAGGGCACAGAAGGGGATCTCAGAGCAAGCTGACTTGCTGGATTAGCCAAAAATGGTGTGTTCTGGATTCTACCTAAGATGCTGCTTCAATAAATAAAGTGGAGACTGATAAGGCTTGGGATGCCAACTTCAGGCCTCCTCATGTACTTGTACCCATTCAACCATACACATGTGAATGCAAACACACACACACACACACACACACACACACACACACACATACACAAACACACACACACATACACAAACACACACACACACAAACACACAGGACAGACATACAAACACATGAGGAAAAGTATCCAATTGTGGCCATAAATGCAGCTGTAGCCCAGTCTCAACTGCCCCATGACTTCTTACTCTTCCCCGTCGGGTCAGAGTAGACATTTATTTTCTCTTTTAAATGTTTCCTGATTACCTTTAATGCACATGTTTTACTTTAAAAAATATTTTCAGCATGTGTGTGTGCTAAGTGTATGTATGTACACCATGTGTATTTGAGAACCTGAGGAGGCTTCTTAGAAGGGAGCATCAGATCCCCTGGAGTTACAAGTGGTTGTAAGCCACTACATGAGTACTGGCCACCAAAACCAGATCTTCTGTAAAAGCAGTAAGTGCTCCTAAACACAAAGACATCTCTCCAGCCTCTACATGTTTTACTTAAATAAAAAAAGAAAAACAAAAAACCTTTCTTGTATGAGTGTTTTGCCTGCATTTATCTGTATACCACCTTTTTTGTTTGCGTGTTTTTTTTTGTTTTGTTTCTCTATGTAACCGCCCTGGCTATCCTGGAACTCAATTTGTAGACCAGGCTAGCCATAAACTCACAGGGCTCCATCTGCCTCTGCCTCCAAGTGCTGGGATTAAATGCATGTGCTGCCACACCCACTTGTTAATGTGTGATGAGGTCAGAAGAGGGTACTGGACCCTGGAACTGGAGTTACAGGTGGTTGTGAGCTACCATGTGGAAGCTGGGGAACAAACTTACGTCCTTTGGAATAGCACGCAGTGCTCTTAACACATGAGCCATCTCTCCAGCTCTAATGTTTTGTGTTTATAAAGTGTTTTAGGTTTTTTATTTGTTTGCTTGTTTGTTTGTACAGAGCTCCTTTGTGTAGCCCTGGCTGTACTAGAACTCATTTTGTAGACCAGGCTGGTCTCGAGCTCAGAGATCTGCCTGCCTCTGCCTTCCAAGTGCTGGGATTAAAATCTATACCACCACTGCCCTGCAGGTTTTGTTTCTGAGACAGGATTTCACTCTGCAGCCCAAGCTGGCCTTTAACTTTCTGTCTCAGCCTCCCAAATTCTGGGATTACAGGTGTGAGCTACCATACCAGACTACATGCTTAAATTTTGTAATCAACTTATATAAGATATACACTTAGAAAGATAGAAATGTAAAATGTTAGATTCCAAGTATCCCACCCATAGTTCTGTACAGGCCTTTCTTCTTGGAGGCCCTCACCCCCGACTTGGCATCCTCTGCTAGCTTTGATACCTGTATGCATGCTTGGCCCTCAGCAGCCTCAGGTGACCTTCATAGGGAAACATGTCTTCATACTCAATGAGGAGTCCATTTGCACCGAGTGCATGGAACAGGGGAAAAACCTGGAGGGAAACAGGGTGTTGAAAAAAAGTGTCAATCTGAACAACAAAGGACTTAGATGAAGTGCGCACTCTTCTCCTTTCTAGTTTTGGAGAGGGATGGGAGCCAACACTCGTATTTCTCTCCTACAGACTTTAAATCTGGAATGTGCATTTGATGCCTGCAGAAAAAATTCTTGGTTAGGAACATATCTATTTTGCACAGGAGTGTAATGTGACACTAAATGGCTGTTACCGAAGAACAATGGACTCTGGTGGTTCAGCTGCGGGAGGACTTGTACCAGCTGGGAGAGTCATCCCGGAGCCAGGCCAGAGGGTCTAACGCACAAGAACCTGTGTGCCATAGCAGCAGGGGGACACCAGGAGCAGCTCTGGAGATCCCTTGGAAGGAAAAGCAGGTGGGGGGGGGGAATGTGCAGAGATAGGATTCAAAGTCTCAAAGCTTGTCCTCTCCTTCTCTTGCCACTTCCTTCCCTATCTTTATGTTAAGGGTAGGAATTTCCCTATCTTTGGGAGTTTTAGAACCTGTTCATGCCTACTATACAAAATAATTGGGAATTTTTTTTCCTGGTCTGAGATCTCTCTCTCTCTCTCTCTCTCTCTCTCTCTCTCTCTCTCTCTCTCTCTCTCTCTCTCTCTCTCTCTCTCACACACACACACACACACACACACACACACACAAAACAAGGAAGCCTCTATCTATATTTAAAACAGCCATCAATCTCCAAATAAGGATCTATATGCTTTCTGTGTATCGGTATTTGGCCTGTGCGTAGAGCTGTATAAGGGAGTCAGATCCATTGGAACTTGAGTTACAGACAGTGGTGAGCTGCTATGTAGGTGCTGGGAACTGAGCCCTGGGTTATTTGGAAGAACAGCCAGTGCCCTGAACCACCGAGCCATCTCTCCAGCCCCTTAAACCAACACTCTTATTCAGGCTCACAGAAATCCAGTATGACCTCATCCTTTTTTTTTTTTTTTGAGATTAAAAAAATAGTTTGTTTAATGTATTGCTGTCATAACAAATTATTATAAACTTCATGGCTTAAAACATAAATTTATTCTCTTACAGTTCTCAAATCTAGGAGTATAACAGTTGCTCAGGCTAAAGTCAAGGAGCCAACAGGGCTCTTCTTTTTTCTCTTTTTTTTTTAACCAAAGGTTGTATGAGAAATTTTCATTTCCTTGAATTTCAGTTTCTAGTGACTATCTGGACCTCTTAGCCCGTGGCCCCTTCCTCCATCTCCAAGGTTCATCACTCCTCACTGCCCTGACCTTTCACTGTCTTGTCTTTTCTGAACCTCATATATGGTGCCATCACCTCAGGTTCACTAGACAGCCGGGGCGAATCTCCCTGCCCCAGGATTCTTAATCACAGTATGATACACAGGGAAGAAGGTCAAAGTATTTTTATTAGTATGACCTCGTCTTAATTGGTCATGGACCAACTAATTTCCCATAGGCTATTTTCAGGTAAGGTCATAGGTACAGGCACTAAGTGCTAAGACTTGAACTTACTATCCTTTTGGTGGGCACAATTCAGCCACAACAAAGACATCGTGGTTTCTTCTGTTCTTTGAGCTATCCTGGTTGTTCTGTCTGGCTTTGAGGGGAGAAAATGGAAAAATCCATGCTCTGTCACCACCCTGCCTGACCCAGGGTGTAGGGAAAAAGGACCAGCCAAAGAAACACACCCTGAGCAGAGCCAAAGAAACACACTTTGGCCCTGCAACCAGAGCTAAAGAAATGCAACCTGACCCTGAAACCAGTGCCAAAGAAATGCACTTTGTCCCTGGAATCAGAGCCAGTGAAAGAAATGCACCCTGGCCCTAAAATTGGAGCCAAAAGGCTAAAAAGGACCAGAGAAAGAAACACACTTTGGCCCTAAAACAGAGCCAAATCTGACCATAACTCTGTGCAGAAAACTAACCAATCCTTGAGCAGGAGCTCTAGCTAATGTGAGTTCAGCATTGAAATCTGACCAATCCCCACCCTGGATGCCCTATATAAACCCTATGTCTGTTCAGCTTGTGGCTGGTCATGCTACCCGGCTGTCCTCTGCCACTCTGGCAGAGGGGCAGCCACTCTCCTAGATTCTTCCCTTCCAATAAACCCCTCAGATGAGCTTTGGGTGAAGACCTTCTTTTGTAGCAGAGCAGAGCAGGCAGGGCTGTAACACTTTTGTCTGGGAAGCCTTGCCCTGGCAGAGCAAAGTTGTTACACTCAGCTCTCCACTCCTGGGAGCAGAACTGAACTGTAGCAACTTTGCATGAGAAACCTTCTCTTGCTGGAGCAAAACTGCTACACTGGGCAAACATCCCCAGCTGGAAGACCCTAGCAGAGCAGGATACACTGGGGAAGCCTTTCCCTGAGGCATGGCTGTAAGCTGTTATGCTTACTGGGGCCTGTGGTAGTCCTTGGCTCCCGAGCTCCAGGATACCTTTCCATCTGAGCTGTGTAACACTCAGTATTCTGTGACTCCTAAGTGCAAGAATACCTGTCCCACCCGATCTGCCTGAAATGCCTACACAGGGTCCTCGAGGTTGTGTCTCCAGTGCCCACTACACAGAGTAAAAGGTGCTTACCTACACATGAAGGGAGTCCTTACCTCAGACAGATACGAAACCTTTGGTGGCGCTCCTTTGAGGTCCAAATGAACTAATCTCATTTTAAACAGCGTGGAACACGACATGCTGGTATTTTTTTGTTCTGTGTGTGTGTGTGTGTGTGTATGTGTGTGTGTGTGTGTGTGTGTGTGTGTGTGTGTGAACTCCTATAACAGGATCGTTGTCTGGGTTTTCTTCCTGGTGGAGAGAGCCCAAGTTACAAACAAGAACAGAGGCAGTCGCTTCCCTTTCTTTTTCAGTTCTGCTACCAGCTAATTTTGCTCTACGAAACCAGAGGAAACTCATTTTACTAATATGAAAATAAACCAAAAAGTTTCACATTCAAATATGGTATTTGCGAGCTGCCCCTGAAATAGAAAACCATTGATTTCCTTGTCAGATAATTACGATTTATAGCAACAACAACAACAAAAGTGGTACACATCCCACCCCCACCCGAGAAAGGAGGATTGAAAGTTTAAGGCTTGCCTGGGCTATAAAGGAAGTTCAAGGGTTAGCCTTGGCAATTTAATGAGACCCTGTCTCCACTAATAAGTAAAACAAGGGCTGGGGATACAGTTTAGTGGTACAGCACTTGTTTAGAATGCCTAAGGCCTTAGGTTAAATTTCTAGTACTGAAAAAACACAAGGCAATGATAATGGGGGCGTGGGGGGTGAGGAGTGTGGCTAGCTCCACGATAGAGCACTTGCTCACTATACCAGAAACCGCCCTGGGAACCACACTCAGCACTGCAAATGATAATAATTTGAAAAGGGAATAGGCGCTGCGTACATCGGAGCTAACTGCAGTTTGCATTAAAACTAATTTCTGGATGACACTGAAGGTGCCAGGCACTTACAGAACTTACAGTTTTCTACCTTTTATAAAACCACAAAGGATTACCGGGGAAAGGAGTTACCGAGGCGTGCAATCCGTTCCACGATTTCACCTGCTCGCCCTGTGCAAGGACTCAAGGCCCTAGCCTAAGGAACCACTCCCCGGCTCCCCCCCATCAACTTCTAACCCTGACCCGCCCACTCGCAGGCAGTCCAAGAGATGGGTAGGGCAGCGCAAAGTCCCTGACAGGATTCTCAGTGCAGCTTTCGGGGAACGAGCGTGGCGGCCGTGGGAGATAGGTCACTGTGGCCCAGCCCACCGTACAGCCGTGGGCTTGACTCACCCACGCCGTCGCCTCCTCAGCACGGCTGCGGGAGAACGCTGGACTCCGAAGGTGTCCCCAGCGGAGCGGCGCAAAGGGCCGAGAAGGCCCCGCCTCGCCCCACTCGGCCTCCGATTGCTCACGTCTGGCCGCGAGCCGGCCGAGGGCCGAGCGCGTCGCTCCCGCGTCCCCACACACCGAGCCCGCCTCGCGTTCGCTGTCGCGGCTGTTGCCCGGGGTTTAGCGGCTCTCGTGCCCCTCCTGGCTCCGCGGCTGGCCTGGCCCAATGGCGCCTCAGCGGAGGGGACCACCCAGAGTTCCGGAGGGAAGCGCTGCAGCCGAGCGCCGGCGCGCGAACAGGTAGCGAGAACCATAGGGACGGAGAGGCCGCGCGCAAAAGCGGGCGGGGCCTGACTGGTGTCGTGTGGGCGTGGCCATCCCGGGGCGGAGTCTGACGGGAGGGGCGGGGCCATGACCGTAGTAGTGTCTGGTGGCAGAGTCGGAGCGTGGCCATCCCACAGGATGGGATCTGACCGGACATACAGCTGTGTCTGTAACTGGGTCGGCTCCTGACAGAGGTTTGGGATGGGACCAGCTTGACTATTGCGATGTAGTCAAGCGTGACTTAGAGAGAGGGCGTGGAAGTAATGTGGGCGTGGTGTGTCTGGGGGCGTGGTTTGCAGTATTCTGTTGCAAACCCTTCAAGGTGAGATGTCTGTCCACTTGGCTGCCCACCAAGGAGCTCTGCACGGAGGTCCTGCCCACAGGGAGCTTTCTCCTTGGGGCCTGCCTACGTTCAGTCACGTGAGCAGGTTTGTCTCACCAGGGGGTATTTCTGGGCCTTTTATGACTCCCTTCTCCTGTGCATTCATGTTCTCACCTTCCCACCCGGTTTCCTCATCCCAGACGTTCACAACTCACCTGTCGAAAACTGGCCTTGTGGGTCTCCGTCAAACCCACACCTGAATCCAAAGGATGGAGCCTTGGGGGACAGCTAGCTCTTGACAGTTCTGCGTGTGTTTCAAGACCTATGTCCCGGGAGACCTTCCCTGGACAGCAGAACTCAGATACCCCAGTTTATACACAGATAGGTAGGGACACAGACACCGCTTCGTCAGGACCACTCAGAACTGGGCCGTAGAGACATCCTAGCTCACACATCATTCCTGATATGCTTCTGTGCTCTTTCTGGCCCCAGATTTATGATCTGAGTTGAGTGTGTTTGATTTGTGTAAGTTGGTTCAAATACCAACATGTATTCTTTTAGGGACACATGCTTAGGGGGGTGGGGAATCACATAGGGATGCATGGGTGTGGTTAGGAACTCTGTGGGCTGGACAGGAAGTGCCTGTGGTCAGCCTATGTTTTTTGTCCATTGAAGCACATGTTCAGCCCTGTCTGATCGGGGATAACAAGGCCACATACCGCCTGGGAAGCTCCTCTGAGGGGTGGGTTGCGGATGGAGGTACAAGCCCCTGTTTTCCCACCACCTGCTTTCATCGTCAGCCCATGAGTACCTGCAACATCTCAGGACTGATGGGGGTCCACCCACCTTGACCAGAGGTCAGTGTAGGCACAGCCCAAGGCTGGTGGCATCCAGCGTGAACATCTTGTGGTTTTGATTGGCATGCTTAGTATGATACCTGCTGCACCCAGGGGTTATGTTTTCCATTCTCAGCACCAAGAAGGACCGGCTGCCTCGGGAGGCACAGAGGACATGGCTAAGGACTGTGGCCCTTGGAGTAGGCCTTGCTCTGATCACATTCCTGCTCTGGAGTAGTCTGGGCATCAATGATGATGTTGTTGAAGTCTTGGCCCGTCGCAGTGAGGTCCTAGAAGGCAGGTTCATTGAGGTTCCCTGCTCTGAGGACTATGATGGTCACCGAAGATTTGAAGGTATGTGCCACCGGCTTCTCAATAAAGAGTGACCGGTAGGGGAAGAAAAGCTTAGTGGTGGTGGTGGCTCATACCTTTAATCCCAGCACTCGAGAGGCAGAGGCAGGCTGAGCTCTGTGAGTTCGAGGCCAGCCTGGTCTACAGAGTTAGTTCCAGGACAGCCAGGGCTACACAGAGAAACCCTGTCTTGAAGCCTCCCACAGAAGAGTAAGTGATAGGGAGCTGGAAAGATGGCTCATATTTAAGAAGACTTGTTGCTTCTCCAGAAGACCTTAGTGCAGTTCCTAGCACACTTGACAGGCAGCTCACAACTGCCTGTAACTCCACCTTGAGGAGATCCAACCCCTCCTCCTTCTGCAGGCACCTGCAATCATACGCACATACCTACACACAGATACACACAAAGTGACGGAAATGAAACCCAACATTGCTTTCTGCTATAACTGGGATCAGTTGAAAGTGGTATGTTTGGGCAGAGACAAACTTTCTCTTCCAAGGTAGAGAAACAGAATGTATCTGGGTGATACAGAGTGTTCAGGAAAAACAGCAGCCCATGGAGGCCTGCACCCTACCCCATCCACCTACACTAGGTTGGAGAGTAAAGATGCTTCAGGGTCAGCCTCCAGTGCCACTCTGGTGTAGACAGCATCTTAGCAAAGCCTCTGTGTCCTGAGGCTGCATGCAGAGAAGTAATAAGGGTAGAAAGGGTCAGCAAGATGCCTTGGCAGTGAAAAGTACATTAATACCAAGCCAGATGACCTGCGTTCAACATCCTGAACCCACGTAGTAGAAGAGAATCAGCTCCCATCGGTAGTTGAGTAAGTAGAACCAACTCTGACCCCTACTCACATATCATGTGTCCACACACATAAAATAATAAATATAAAATAAAAGTTCTAGGAAGATGAGGATGATAAGTGGGAGACCAAAAATGTGATAGTAAGGAACGCCCAGAAAATGTGACAAGAAGAATGTTATCCCAGGTCGCAACTCTGAAGCTCCACCAGTGGCACTGGTTGAGGCAGGAAGGAGCAGCCAGCTGGTTACAGGCTGGAGCCCTGAGGAAACCGAGGAAGAACCACAGTGTCAGGGCCACAGGACCAGGGTTAGGACAGTCAACACCCTGGAGAGCACACACCCCTGGGCTGGGTGTATGGGGCGGGGTGCAGGCCTCCTTGGGCTGCTGTTTTCCTGAATTTTCTGTACCACTCAGATACATTCTGCTTCTCAAACGTAGCATTTAGGATTCATAGGCAGACTTTTCTTTCCCCTGCAAGTTCCCAAGGAGACTCAATATTATAATTAATTATAATTATGTTTGGCCAATAGTTTAGGTTTACTAGCTAACTCTTACAATTTAAATTAACCCATTTCTATTAATCTACGTATTGCCATGTGACTCGTGGCCTTACCTGTCCTCCAGCATGTCTTGCTCCCTCTGCATCTCCTGGAGATTCCTCTGACTCCACCCTTCTTCTTCCCAGTGTCTTTAGTCTGGCTTTCCTGTTTAACCTTATCCTGTCCAGCTATTGGCCAGTTGGCTTCTTTATTAAGCCAATTACAGCATAATTCACACAGTGTACAGAAGGATTATTATACAGCATGGCCTGACTCTAAATAAACCATAAGGATGGTATAGTTATATGTATTTGTTGGTTTTTTTGTTTTTTACTTTTTGCTCTTTGGGGGCCTACCACCCAGCTCCCAAATAAATACATGGAGACTTATGAATGCCTGGCCTTAGCTTGGCTTATTTCTAGCCAGCTTTTCTTAGCTTGGATCAATCCATTTCTCTTCTACATTTTGCCTTTGGGCTTTTACCTTTCTCTATTCTATATACCTTCCTTTCCTTCTTACTCTGTGGCTGGCTGTGTGCTGGATGACTGGCCCCTGGTGTCCTCCTCTCCTTCTTTTCTCACTCTTTCTCAATTTCCCTTCTTCTCTTATTTATTCTCTCTGCCTGCCAGCCCCACCTATCCCTCTCCTGCCTACCTATTGATCGTTCAACTCTTTATTAGACCAATCAGGTGTTTTAGACAGACAAAGCAGCACAGCCTCACATAGTTAAACAAACGCAACATAAAAGAATGCAGCACATCTTTGCGTCATTAAACAAATATTCCATAGCATAAATGAATGTAACATATCTTAAACTAATATTCCACAACAGGATGGTTTACTTTTTGTTCAAAGTAAGGTTCTGGATTTGAATGAAGAAGAGACTCTATGTTCTTCCACAAAGGGGCACTGTTGCGATACACAAGAACTCAGCACTCAGCCACATGGGAGATGGCGGGCAGTGCTTTGTGGACTAGATGGCCCAGGACGAAGTGTGTATCGTTTTCTCCTTCAGCAGTCAGTAAAATAAACACGTTTCTGTTGTGTTGGATACTCTGCCCTATGGCTTTTTCCTTCAGACATCTTAATTTGCAACACACACACACACACACACACACTAAATGGCAGTCTCCCAGTCAGAGTTTGCATATCTTGCAGGAAGATTCCCCAGAGTTTATAGTCCCATCTCATCAGTAAGAGCGTTACACAGTTCACTCGGGTCAAAGGAACTGACCCTTTGCCACCAGAATACAGGAACTGGTTGTTTGCTGAGCTTGCCTCTGATAGCAATTAGTGTGCTAGCACAGGCCTGTAATCTCAGAACTCAGGAGGCTGAGGCAAGAAGTTCTCAAATTTGAGATTTGAGGCAGCCTGAACTACATAGTGAGACCATGTTTCTTTCTTTCTTTCTTTCTTTCTTTCTTTCTTTCTTTCTTTCTTTTTTTTTTTTTTTTGAGACCATGTTTCTAACAAACAAGACAAAGCAAAAACCAAAATGTCAATGTAATGTCTGGATGCCTTCTTGTTTTCCCAGGGTTTGGGAGCAGTGACTGATGTGGGTATGTGGGAAACCCAGGCAGGACACCTGGTGGGGAGATGTGAGCTCTGAGGTTGTACATAGGGCACAGTTCTGGTAAAAACTTACCACTGTTAGGGCCTGGAGAGAGATGGCTTGATGGTTAAGAGCACTAGCTGCAATTTCCAGCACCCATCCAGTTCCAGGGGATCTGATATCCTCACACAGACAAATGTGTACATGAAATAAGAATACATAAAAAAAATTTAACAGGCTGCACGTTGGTAGCGCATGCCTTTAATCCCAGCACTCGGGAGGCAGAGGTAGGCGGATCTCTGTGAGTTCAAGACCAGCCTGGTCTACAAGAGCTAGTTCCATGACAGGCTCCAAAGCCACAGAGAAACCCTGCCTAAAAAAAAAACCCAAGCCCGGCGGTGGTGGCACACGCCTTTAATCCCAGCACTTGGGAGGCAGAGGCAGGCGGATCACTGTGAGTTCGAGGCTGGGCTAGACCGACAGCCTCCAAAACAATACAGAGAAACCCTGTCTCGTAAAAAACAAAAACAAAAACAAAAACAAAAAAAACAACCCAAAAAAGAAAAATTTTTTTACAATTACCACTGTTTATCTGAAGTTGACTTTTAACTAGGTGTATTAGCCTAGCTGGTCCTCTAGTCATGGGAGAGGTCCTTTCCAGCTTAGCCATGATGGGGGGTGGGGGCAGTGGCTTTGGCTGTCAGCATTTCTCCTTGATCTCACCCCCCAGGCTGCACCCCGAGGAAGTGTGGCAGAGGTGTCACTGACATAGTGATCACCAGGGAGGAGGCCGAACAGATTCGCAGGTACTTATGCATCTCTGTACTTTGCCTAGGGCTTACATGAAGTAGGTATAGCAGTGAATGGGGATGTGGGCCAGGGCAGCAACAGAGTGGAGAGAACCCTCATAGTTCTGTGGATCATCCCCAAGGGTTTTTTTTTGGGGGGTGGGAGGGTCAGAGGGCAGGCTTCCCGTTTCCTCCCTCCTTTGAGGAAATGACATGACCTTAGCATATCAGTTTCTGCTGACTGAGTAGTCTATAGAGCCCAGCTTCCCCCTCCAGGAAGCTTACTATGCTGTGGAAACAAGGCCTCCTCCAGCCTCAGTGAACAACCACTAGATAATACTTTCACCTCTCTGTGGCTCATGAATGCTAGCTCAGAAGCAGCCGGTACTGGAGTTTTCTTCGTGTGGGGGTTTTGCAAACAAGATCTCTTAATTAAAAAGAAAGATTTAGTTTTCTGACTAACTATTCAGATTCCGAATGTGACCCTTCATTTGGCCCTTGAACCCCACTGTCCTCTGTCCGTCCTCACGCTGGTCCTGCTACGATGCCCAGCAGGGAGCCTGTCCTCTGTATCACTCTCATCCTATATCACTGCCATACCTGAGGATTACAGTGCTTTACCGAGGCGGGAGTGTTCCTGGGTGACCTTGTCAAAGCTGCTTGCTCCCCAGTAAGGTGGTCCTCTCCGGGCTGGTATGGTTCTTTTACAGTCTGAGCTGTGATTACCAAAATCTCCTGGGAGCTGTCAGGTCGCAGACAAATGAAGAAGCCCTTGCTGTCATCAGGAGTTAGGCCAGTGGTTTCCAAACAGGCCATGTGCCAATACCAAGAGGACGATGAAAGTTGCAGTTTTGAGTTTCTATGACTGTTTCCATCGTAAATGTTAAACCAGCAGAACCTATAAACCAGGCACTAGTACACTGATTGATGTTTTGCCTAGATACCTTATGGATGATGCTATCAACTAAATTCTGACTTTATCCCCCATAGAATAGCAGAGAAGGGGCTCTCCCTAGGTGGATCGGATGGAGGGGTGAGTTGACACGGTTCCTGTCCCCATTTTCTTCATAATTTTAAATTAGATCTCCATGGAAGGGAAGGAGAAAGTGTTGGACACACAGGGTCCCTTCTGTTTCCCACCACAGCCATGGTGTTTCTCAGACAGCGGCTGGTGTTCCTTTTGTCTAGTGGGCACGAAATGTCTCTCTTAGGAAGAGTGTGTGTTAAGTCGCCATGGCCATCTCTTCAGGCTGTCATAGGCTGCCTGGCTTCAGGTCACACTGGCACTTTAGAAACTCTGGATAGGGAAAGGGAGGATGGGAGAGGGGTGGGAGAAGGGGAGAAGGAAGGAGCTTACAAAGGAGTCAGAAGCCTGGTAGCCAGGTAGCTGCTGGGAAAGGCAGAGTACCTTAAGATGCTTAGATGGATCCCACTGCAACAGGCTAGCAGAGGCCTATCATTCCTTGCACAAGGGTATATCATATGAGGAATAAGATGGTGTATCCACGTGGCACCCATGATATAATTTGGAAATGGGATTTTTGTAGTTGTAACTGAGGGAAAGTCCTCCTCAGGGGCCCTAAGTCCAAGGGTAGGTTTTTGTATAAGAGAGAGCCAAAAGCCAGGCAGTGATGGCTCATGCCTTTAATCCTAGCACTTGGGAGGCAGAGCAAGGCGGATCTCTGTGAGTTCCAGGTCTGGCCTGGTCTACTGAGTGAGTTCCAAGACAGCGTCCAAAGCTACAGAGAAACCCTATTTTGAACCCCCCCCAAAAAATTCTTATGGAGTTGAGCTACCCCATAAGTTTAGTAAACTTTAAGTAAGCCCATGTTGTGTCCACACCTTAGCTAAGTAACTATGGGAATAAGGAAAGGGGCCTGGTGTATGTTACTACTGACCATGCATGGGGTAAAATTGTCCACGTTGGTGGTTGCTTTCCTCCTGAGATACAGGGAAAGAGGTGGGTGGTGACGGTCAGAAAACATTTTAGCAGTTTTTAAAATGCTACCAATGCATAGTTCCATATAAAGTGTTTAACTGGGAGCCCCCCCAAGAACATGCCCACATGCATCTGTGGCCAGTGTGCACAGGAAAACCCAAGGCCATCACAGGGAAAAGCCACCAGGTTTGACATACACTTCCTGTAGAACATAGAGCTTCAGGTGTCCAGGATGGGCTGGCAGAGAAAGGTAGCGAGCAGAGAGGGATCACAAAAAGGGTATAGTTGGTGTACATGCAGAAGTGTACATTTACACAGAAAGGAGTCACACTGCACACTCCACACACGGACAGAAACATGTGTATAATTTTTACCTTGACAGACCTAGTGGAGGGGAGGAAAGCAGAAGTCAGTAGGCTGGGCTATGACTCACCATAAGCATCCCCAGATGTGTCTAGGGAGTATGTCTGGGAACTGTCTCTAAAAGTGTTCGTGTAAAAAGTTTGGTTTCCTTGGTTTCCTTGTTGGACAGCAGAGAGAGAGGGGGGGGAGGAGAGAGAGAGAGAGAGAGAGAGAGAGAGAGAGAGAGAGAGAGAGATCTGTTGAGGCAGACAGTGCACAAGGCAGGGTTTTAAGAAGCCAGAGGTAGAGTGTATATACAGTGGATTGTGGTAACTGCTAAAGTGACCATCACTTGTTTTACACACATATGTCTTTTTTCAGGCATCTATCTTGGACTTGCATTCTGGGGCCTTGTCTGTTGGGAAACATTTTGTGAACCTGTACAGGTGAGAGGCTGGGGGAAGTGAAGAGGTAGGATGCAGGCGGGCGGGTTTCAGGGAGCTGTGATCTTCTTCAAGGGCTAGAGAGATGCCTAAGAGAGTTGTCAGCCTCATCGTCATCATGCTGACTTCCCTTCCTCCCTCTCTCTTCCTTTCTCCCCCCCCCATCCTTCTCACTTTCTGTCCCTTTCCTTCTCCATAACCTAGTGATTAATGTAGGAATGGAATAACTCTCATGGTTTGACCGCTCTACTTTTGGAGACTTTCTGGTCAGCTAGGAAAGGCAGATGAAAGGAAACAAGGGAGCTGGGTATGGTAGTTCATACCTGTCATCTGAAGCAGGAGGAGTACCCTAAGTTGAAGATCACCCTGGTTTTTTGTTGTTGTTGTTGTTTTTTAAAGGCAAGGAAAAGATTAGTAACATGCTATATCTGCTAATGTTACTTATTATTTCACAGATACTTTGGCGATAAAATACAAAATATCTTCTCTGAGGAGGACTTCCAGTTATATAGGTAAGGAGAATGAAGTGCAAGAAGGGATGGGTGGGGCCAGATATGCAAATTGGGCTGAGATTGGCAATGGCTCCTATGTGAGGGATTGAGACCTGTGGATGTAGACAAAGCTCAGCTTGTCTCTGGGTAGATGGGCAGCTCCCCTAATGCTTTTATTTCCTTTCCCCTAATCCTTTCTAAGCCCTCTTGGTCCTGTAGCAGACATTTCCTGCTATTGGTTACAGCCCAACACCAGCCATACAATTCTTGCACACTCCTCACCCAGAGGCAGCTTGCTTATCTGGGATAGTTCTCTAAATTAAAGCTTTTATTTAAAGGTTATTAAGATGTGTATTATACAGGAGGCTGGAGAGATGGCTCAGCAGTTAAGAGCACTCTTCCAGAGGACCCTGTAGACGGACTTTTCTTTCCCACCAGTCCCCGACATGGAGACTCAATATTAATTATAGATGCTTGGTCAATAGCTCAGCCTTATTACTAGCTAGCTCTTACAACTTAAATTAACCCACTTCTATTAATCTATGTATTGCCATATGGCTCGTGGCTTTACCTGAACTCCCGAATGTCTTACTCCTTCTTCATCTCCTGGCGACTCCTCCAACTCCACACTTCTTCCCAGAATTCTCCTGGTCTGGCTCTCCTACCCAATCTCTTCCTGCCCAGCTATAGGCCAGTCAGATCTTTATTAACCAATGAGAGTAATACATATTTATAGTACAAAGGTTGTTCCACAGCAGGATCCAACCTCAGAACCCACATGGCAGCTTACAGCTGTCTGCAACTCTAGTTGCAGAGGATCCAGCACCCTCACTCAGATATACATGCAGACAAAACACTGATGAAATAAAAATAAATAAAATTATTTTTAAAAAGATAAGTGTTGAGGCTGGAGAGATGGCTCAGAGGTTAAGAGCACTGACTGCTCTTCCAGAGGTCCTAAGTTCAATTCCCAGCAACTACATGGTGGCTCAAAACCATCTGTAATGAGTTCTGAAGCCCTCTTCTGTCCTGCAGGGATACATGTAGACAGAACACTATATACATAAGAAATAAATATAGAAACAAAAAAAGGTAAGTGTTACAGCATAGGAAATAGTCCAGGGAGATTATATACACTATCTATTTATTTAGTCCTGTTGCCTAACTGTACTATGACATCACTCACCAGAAAGTGCACTGGTACAGCGCTCTGATCGTGTTCAGGTTTCCAGGCTTTGCCTGTAATCATGTGTGTGCTGAATTTTATCATCTACTAGATTGTGTTGAACCAGCCAAGACACTGAACATGCCATCAGAGTACCAAGTTCCTGCTGCCCTTTGTAGCCCTATGCCCGCCCATCTCTGATGATCAAAAAACCATCTCATCATCAGCCGTGTTGCCTGGAAACATAGCTGATATTTCACCTTCATTATGATCCCAGGAAACAGCTGCTAAACAAAGCCTAGGTTCTGGTCCAGAGTGCACTGTGAAGGGCTTGACTAACTCTGCATGCTTGGCAATGGCAACAGGGAGTTATCGCTTGATACACAGTATCGTTGCAGATGGAATGGAGCCATTAGGAGCTTTTCAGTAACTTCCAAGGGTCCCAGCTTGCATGTAGCTCCATTCTGTGATACTCTCAAGATTTGGGATATAGCCCATGACTGCCTCCAGCTGACCAGCTGTGCTCCTAGCCCTCACTGGTTTGTTTTCTTCTTGATGTTTATTCCTAGTATGTATACACTGGCTTAAACAGAAAGTGTCTGTGGTGTTTTGACATTGTAAGTTATACAATTTATAAGACATAAAAATAATATTAATAATAATGCTGGGTGGTGGCAGCTCATGCCTTTAACCCCAGCACTCTGGAGGTAGCAACAGGCAGATCTTAAAGTTCCAGGACAGCCTGGTCTACAGAGTAAGTTCCAGGACAGCCAGGGCTGCACAGTGAAACCACGTTTCAAAATACCAAAACGAAACCAAACAAAAAAAATCAACACCCCCCACCCCCAAAACAAAACAACAAGACACCTAATGTGACAGGAAAGCAAAACTGAACTGTATGTTCCTGAGCTACAGAGAGCATAGAGAACACTTTCTGCAAGGTCTTCCCTCCACACATAGAACCCGGACGACTGTGGACTTCTGGATAACCAGGAACCAGCATAGTAGAACACAAAACTTGTTTTTCCAGGTGACAGTCAGGTTGACAATTGCCACAGCAAACAGGAAGATCATTGCCAGCCACAGGAATGCTCCTTGCAGATGTTGCCGCCTGCAGATGGTATAAAAGAGAATTAAAGGTGGAAAACAAGAAATACTGATCTTGTCCAAAGGTCTGCTATATTCTGTCCGGTTTAGGAGTTAAGTGGAGATTTGCAATTAGGAGGAAAAGTGAAAAGAATATCCCAGTCAGTTTCACCGTATAAAGCATTTGAAGTAATTAAAACTTCCAAAACTGTCAGACTGATCCGCTGTGTCCTCTGCAGGGACGTGCGGCAGAAGGTCCAGCTCACCATTGCCGAAGCTTTTGGCATCAGCGCATCCTCGCTGTATCTGACAAAGCCCACGTTCTTCTCCCGAATCAATAGCACGGAAGCCCAGACAGCTCACGACGAGTACTGGCATGCACACGTGGACAAGGTGAGCACTTGGTAAGCGGGTTCTTTCTCTTGTCCGTGACTGGGATTCCAGGCATCCGCTCTGCAACATCTCTGTGCGCTGTTTTAGACCTCTTCATCCTGGGGCTCTAGGGTGCATTCTAAATCGGTTCAGGCAACTGAGGAAATAGACTTCGTTTCCTGGGTGTTGAGGGCTGGAACAGAAGGTGCGGTGGCTGCTGGCTGGGGAGCGGCACGGGTCTTGTGGTGTCCCTTGTTCTATACTTGTTCCCAAATTCATTTACAGCCTTTCCGATTAGGCTGTGTAAGCAAAGGATCCCTTTTGTTACTTCTCTGGCCCAGGTCTCAGTATCCCCACAGGATGTCCTCCTTCCATTAGTTTTTTTTTTCTTCTTTTTCCTCTGTCTCCTCCCTAAGACCTTGTTACCAGCAGCAGGGAATCCCTGGGGGATCACTTGTGTCCTTGTACCCTGCCACAGAATTCAGAATGAGTCAGGGAAGCAAAGCTAGAAAGTTTATTGATGAAGGCTGAAGATGCTTGAGGAGGGTTGGTGTCAGGAAAGGACCGTACTGAGGAGCCCCAGCGGTCACCATGAATATGATTTAGGAGCTTTGAAGCTGCTTGGTTGCAACCAGGTTTAGACACAGGGAAAGTTTTATGCTGGCATACTTTTCCTTCCTTCTTTTCTTTGTATTTTTTTTCAAGGCTGGGTTTCTCTGTATAGCCCTGGCTATCCTGGAGCTCACTCTGTAGACCAGCCTGGCCTTGAACTCAGACATCCCCAGTACTGGCATTCAAGGCATGTGCCACAGCCACCAGGGTTGGCATGCTTTTTCTTTTTCTTTCTTTTTTTTTTTTTTTTTTTTGGTTTTTCGAGACAGGGTTTCTCTGTGGCTTTGGAGGCTGTCCTGGAACTCACTTGGTAGTCCAGGCTGGTCTCGAACTCACAGAGATCCGCCTGCCTCTGCCTCCCGAGTGCTGGGATTAAAGGTGTGCGCCACCAACGCCCGGCTGGCATGCTTTTTCTTATCCACAGAATTTTGTCCTTGAAGAAGAGTCCGTTTCAGGTACATTGGACAGGCTTGCTGCTGGAGAAGGGAGTACTACTAGAGGTAAAATGTTCTTCAGGGGAAGTGACCCAGTTGACAGAGTGCTTGCCTGGCATGCAGGAGGCTCTGGATTCAATCCCCAGCATCATATAAACTGGACAAGGTGGCTTGCACCTGTAACCCCAGCACTTGGGAGGTGGAAGCAGACAGAGTACAGGAGGAGTACCAGGAGTTCAAGATCACCTTCAGCTACATAGAGAGTTTGAGTCCAGTCTGGACTACACGATACTGTCTCAAAATGACACAAAGGCAAACAATCCCATTCATTAAAGGATTCCTTACTATTATGTAAGTCAAATGTAGGCACGTCCCATAGGGCATACTTCACTAGTCATTTTAAAAATCATAATTTGTGATGTTTCTCAGAAAGTGGGTACCGTTATTTTGCAGGTTGTTTGGTTAGTTATGTAAAAATTCCTGGGGTGTCAGCCAGTGAGAAATTTCACTTCTCTCATTCTCTTTGTTTCCTAACTAGTTATCTGCCTCGGTTAGTTCAGCCCTGCTGAGATATCTCAGCCCCTGTAGGCCAGTTATACCCAGCCACTGACATTAATCTTCTCTACGTCCCCCATACTGCGGACAGCAGGTGAGAACTCCTATCCAGCACACAGCTCACTTAGCATAGTGCCAGGTGGCTGCCAAGATACTATGAGAAAGAGGAATGTCACTCCTTCTGTACCATAATCTGCTGCCACTCTTTTCTTTGAGCATGGTAACTATGTGGTTTGGGAGGGTCTTCTGCAGTATGTGAGGGTGGGCTGAAGTTTTTAAGGAGTCAGAACAAGGCAGGGATCCTATGTCCTCCCATAATTCCTACTTCTGATCAATCTGCCTGGGTCTTTTGACCCTGGCTGTCCTTGAACTTGCTCTGTGGGCCAGGCTGGCCTGGAACTCACAGTTCTCCACTTCTCGAGCGCTGGGATCAAAGACGTGCACCACCACCACCCGGTTCATCTTTGCTTTCTTTAGCTTGAGTTTCACCGCTGAAGCTTCCAGAGGCAGTGCCCTGTTGCCTTGTAGGGTTCATGTTACTTTGGCTTAGCCTTGGGGGCTGATGCAGGATTGGGGAGCACCCTGCTCATGAGGTCAAGCTAGATGCACCAACAGAGACTGACACCCACAGACAGGAGTCTTACATCACGTCCCCATTGAGTTTAGGGAATATTTCTCCACACCTCACTGGCCTGCTCACCTTCAAGGGCCTGCTGCTCATGGCTAGGTCATTGTTATGGAGACAAGTCAGGGCACAGAAGCATCAGGGAGAGCAGGGTTTGGACTTGCTCAGGAGGTATCGGTCTTGTGCTCTTCTTCAGGATCCTGGTCTCACAGTGACAACAGGGCTGATCAATCACTTGATTCTGTCCTTACACTCAGACGCAAGCAGTGGGGGAATCGAGGATGGTGTGGGAGGGTGGTGATGGCTTAATGCCTGCAAGCTGGTCCTTGGAGTCTCATTGTTCTTATCTCCTACCCCAGACTTGCTAATTGAATGATTCATCAGGCTGGAAAGTGTCCTAATGTGATTGAGATTCCATTCACGTCACACATCACTGTCTTTGTGGCACATCTCACTCGTTACCTTTATTAACTGGATGTTGATTTGTGAGTGTTCTCTCTGACATCGCTTGCCTGCAATACAGGGCACTGGGAACTTCCTTGTAGCACCTGCCGTCTGCAGTGCCTTCTGAGGATCCTCCAAGGAGCTACTCAGAAATGGCTGTCACACCTGGCTTCGGGTCCCTGTGGAAACTCCGAAGCTCTGTCACAGTGCCCTTGTGTAAGCCCAGAAGCAATGGTCAGAGCCCTGAGCTCTCCAAGACCCCCATGCTGTCTCCCTAAACCACACCTACGTGAGGAGGCCCCTGGTGTGCTTCTTGTAGGAGCTTGAGCATGCTTGTTATTTCATGAATGAGTGAGTGTAGGTCTGTGGGCACCAGCGTAGAGCCGACAAACTGAGGAGACTTCTGACCCTGAGTGAAGCCTGTCCTTTCAGAAGCTTAGCTGCGTGAGTCGTTCCTCTCTCCCCTGGTGTGCCATTCCAGCCTGGGGACGGTCATGGCTGCTGTGCCACCATTTGCTGTCTGTCCAACATGACCTCCTCTACTTGTAACACCCTCTGGTGACATCACGGCTTTCCCACCTGCAAGGTCTTGCTTTGCTCATCGGGTTCCCGAACTAACCATAACTAGCCTAAGAAAGCATGTACATAGTCTTTTTCTCCCTTCTTTTGTTCTGTTTTGTTTTGAGATGGGGCTTCTTTGTGTAACAGCTCTGACTGTCCTGAAACTCAGCTCTGTAGACCAGGCTGGCCTAGAACTCACAGAGATCTGCCTGTCTGGGCCTCCTGAGTGCTGGGATTAAAGGCATGCATCACCACCCAGCTTCTCCTTTTTATTTATTTATTTGTTTATATATATATATATTTTTTTTTTTTGAGACAGGGTCTTGTTGTGTATCCTTGCTTAGCCTGGAGCTCACAATGTAGCCACACCTGGCCAACTTTTTATTTTAGTCTTTGGTGCTTGGGATGGAGTCCAGGACCTAAAGTGTTCTAGGAAAGCTCTGTTCACTGAGCTTTATCCCAGTCTCTCAATGATGTTTCTCTATGTGCATTTTTTCCCGTTTTTTTGAGACAGTGTTTTTTCTCTGTGTAGCTTTGGAGCCTATCCTGGCACTTGCTCTGTAGACCAGGCTGGCCTCGAACTTCCAGAGATCCACCTGCCTCTGCCTTCCAAGTGCTGGGATTAAAGGCGTGTGCTACCAACGCCTGGCTTTTATGGGTTTTTGCTGTTGTTTATGTGTGTGAATGTTTTGCTTGCATGAGTATATATGTACCACATACACCACATACCACAAAGGACAGAAAAAGGCATCAGGTCCCCTGGACCTGGAGTTATAGATTGTTATGAGCTGCCATGTGGCTTCTGGGAACCAAATTTGGGTCTTCTGGAAGTGCAGCCAGCACTCTTAACTGCTGAGCCATCTCTCCAGCCCCTATGTGCAGTTTTTAATCATTACTTTAAATTAATGTGTATATGCAAGTGTGTGTAGGTATGTATACATGAAAGATTGCAGGTGCTTTGAAGGCTGAAAGAGGACTTCAGATCCCCTGGGACTTTAATTACTCAAAGTTGTAAGCTGCTGGATTAAGTGCTGTGGAAACCAAACTTAGGTCCTCAATCCGCAACAGGCACACTTAACCAATGAGTCATCTCTCAGACCCCTCTATGGTGCAGTTCTAGATGCTTTTGAAAGTTTTAAGATGATTTTCCTGGTGCTTGGTTACTGCTTGGTGGTAGAGTGTGAGCTTAGTTACTACATTTGGAGAGTTTGGGGCCATTATTTCTTTAAGTAGGCTAACCTTTCTCTTCGTTTCATGGGACTCAGTGACAGAATACAAGAGCTTTAGGTATGTCCCAAGGCTCTACTTCCCTAGTTCTCTGTCCTCCAGGTGTACTCTGTCCCTGTCCAAGGCTGATACAAACCTTTTCCCATCGGCTAAGTTCCAATCTAATGTGGTTTTCAAATTGAAGAATTCTGCTTGTTTTAAGATTGCGTCTTTGGGTAGTCCAAGCTAGCCTTAGACTTGCTGTACAACTGAGATTGACACTGAATTCTCAATGGTGGTTTCGCCACCTCTGGAGTGAAATCACAGGCTAGCACCAGCATGTCTGGCTTTCTTCAGTTTCTGTCTCTGCCTGGTAGACTGTGGTTACTGCCCGACTTAAAAGTCTTCCAAGATCTCCGTGGCCCATGACTAAATTCTACCTATCTGCCCAGGAACCAAAGCAGCATCCGAGGCTTGTGTTTCCTAATTAGATGTTTGCTTTGGCCAGTCTGGTATAGAGTGGGTTCCAGGACTGTCAGAGCCGCATAGTGAGACACTGTATTAGGAAAAAAAAATGCTTCATTGAAACAGAACTTGTTGGAAATTTGGGTGACTGCCACAGTGTTCCGCAGAGCACCATGCCATATGACTTCTAGCCAGTGTGCTTCATTTTAAGTTTGGTTGTTTGAATAATAATGTATCCTACAAGGTTCAGAAGTGAAAGGAGACAAGAATGTCTTTCCCAGAAACCCTCACTTGCCCAAATCAACACAATGGCCATGGCCAGATTTTAGGATCCCTTCTCTAACTGCCTACCTTCTTTTCTGTTTGTTTGTTTTGTTTTTGTTTTTCAAGACAGGGTTTCTCTGGGTAGCCTGGAACTTACTTTATAGACCAGGCTGAGCTTGAACGCAGAGATTCACCTACCTTTGCCTCCTGAAGGCTGAGATTAAAGGCCTGTGCCACCACCACCACCTGACATCTCCAACTACTTTTATGCAAAAGTAGTTTTGTCATTTATAGAGAATCACATTTCCTTAATTGTTTCCTTTTCTGTTGAGCTATTGATGGCAAATTTCATCTCGAAGCCAGTGGTTTCATCCACAGAACGTTGGCATCAGCATATCTACACCTGTGGTGCTCTCTCGCTCTCTCTTTTTTAAAACATAATTTAATTCATTATTATCTGACTTGACCTACCACGGTGAATGTGCAGAACTCAGAAGACAGTTTTGTAGAGATGGTTCTTTCCTTCCACCTTGAGTTCCGGGGATTGAACTCAAACTTAACCCACTGAGTCATCTCATCCTCTTTGTTTTTATTTTTTTTAATGAAATTAGATACTCAGATACTAAATATCCTTTAAACAATGTTTTAAAAACACTTATTATCATTATTTTGTGTGTGTATGTATGTGTGTGTGTGTGTGTGTGTGTGTGTGTGTGTGTGTGTGTGTGCATGTCCATGGATGTATGTGTGGGCATATGTGTGGAGGTCAGAGGACAACTTTGTGAAATCCATTTTCTTCTTCCACATTTTCATAGGCTCAGGGAATTGAGCCCAAGCACCAGGCTCTCACTTGAGTGGCTCATCTTTACCCACTGACCATCTCACAGGCCCTAAAGTGTCTTTTAACCACCATGCTTCCCAGCTCCCTTCTTACAGAAGTCACATTTGGGTCAATACACGGATTTTTAATCTGTTATATTTAACAGTAAAGAATATTTTACTCGCCGGGCATTGGTGGCTCACGCCTTTAATCCCAGCACTCGGGAGGAAGAGGCAGGCGGATCTCTGTAAGTTCGAGACCAGCCTGGACTACCAAGGGAGTTCCAGGACAGCCTCCAAAGCCACAGAGAAACCCTGTCTCGAAACAAAAACAAAAAACAAAAAAAGAATATTTTACTCTTGATTGTGTCACATATAATTCACAGCCACCAAACATTTGTGTCTAGTCCTTGGCTACCACAATTCACGCTACTGGGAGCAGAAGGGCAGGTGACTCTGTGGACAGAAGTTTCTGTCGTGCCCAGTCCCACTGCCGTTTAGCCCCAAATAAACACACAGAGGCTTATATTAATTACAAACTGTTAGACTGATGGCTCAGGCTTCTTATTGGCTAGCTCTCTCTTAATTATTAACCCATTTCTACTAATCGATGTATCTCCACATGATCTTGTCTTACCGGAGAATGCCGGGGCATTTTGCCTTCCCAGTAGCTAAATGGCGTCTCTCAAGCAACTCACCCTCTATATTCCTCTTCCCAGCACTCTCCTAGTCTGGTAGCCCCACCTATACTTCCTGCCTGGCTATTGGCCAAAACAGCTTTATTCATCAACCAATAAGAGAAACATGTATTTACAGCATATGGAAGGCTATTCCCCCATCATTCATGACTTCCTGTGTAGGGATCAGTCTCTTGGGTATATGTGTATGAACTGATGAATAAGGGATTGTTCTGAAATCTAGATTAGAAATTATTACTGACTCAAAGAGGTTTTAGAAACATTCTGCTACAAGCCCCCCCCCTTTTCCTTCTCTATTTCTCAGACAGATTCTCACTCTGTAGTATAGTCTGGCTTAAAATTCACTATGTATCCTAGACTGTCCTTGAACTCCTCCTATCTGCTGGGGTTACAGAGTTTTAATATAACTTAATTTATCTTTTAAAAAAATTTTATTTTTAAATTTAAATTTAAATTAGAAACAAGGCTACTTCTCATGTCAATTCCAGGTCCCTCTCCCTTTCCCTCCCCTCCTCCCATGCCCTCCTACCAACCCCTCAAATATCCCCTTAATTTATCTTTTTATATTCTAGCTGTCATACATTTGGGATTATGAGAAATAAATGTTGTCATGTCTAATAATGGCAAAGATCTATGACTTTTCCATAGAAAGAGTCAATTGCTCAGAGGCCCATAGAAAGAGTCAATTGCTCAGAGGTCATTTTTAAAGTCACCTGTAGTCTCCCCACCATTCTGGGGGTACCACTCATACAGTTACCAGTTACCCATAAATTCTTGTGAGTTTCTAAATTCTCTCTTCTGTTCTAATTTATGTTTTCTTTTTAAAAACTTGTTTATTTTACCGTATGTGGGTGAGTGTTTTGCCTGAATGTATGTCTGTGTACCACATGTGTGTCTGGTGCCTACAGAAGCCAGGAGACGGAGCATTGGAGTTTCAAAGAGCTTTGAGCCTACACGTGGGTGCTGGGAATTGAACCAGGTTCTCTGGAAGAGCAGCTACCATTCTTTACTACTGACATATCTCTCCATCTCCCAGTTTTCTTCTCTGTTTAAAATTTTTATTTATTTGGTGTATGTATATCTGTCCCCTTTCTGTGTGTGTGTGTGTGTGTGGTGTGTGTGTGTGTGTGCGTGTGCGTTTGATGGAAAGTATCTTCATTTACCAGACCATCTTGTCAGCCCCCTGGGTCTTGGTTTTCTACAACTGCATCAACAACAAATGACTTTGATGATTCTAGTTCTGTGGATTACGTACGTATGTAACAAACTAATTTTGTCTGATTTCAAAGCCTCGCATTTTTTGCAGTGCTGTCTCTGTGCATCTGGTAGGAGTATTCTAACAACTGTCTGTAGAGTGTAATCTTCCCTGCCAGTCGCCTGGGCCCTGCCGCGCTGTCTGAACCCCCAAATAACACACAAGACAATTATATTAATTATAAAGCTGTTTGCCATTTGCTTGGTTTTTTACTGACTAGCTCTGACTTAAGTATTTAACCCATAATTCTTAATCTAAGTTTTTCTCTTACCGGAGAAAAGGGTCCAGACCTCTTACTCCTCTGGCTGCCTACATCATGTCTGGCTCTGCCTCTTTCCCAGAATCCTCCTTGACTCCTAGTCCCACCTATCTTGCTTCCCTATTGGCCAACAATACTTTATTCAACAACCAATAAGAGAGGCAGATTTACAGAATGACGTCTCCCATCATCTCTTTTCTATCTAAATAAAAAGAAAGGTTTTAACTTTAACATAGTCAAATTATATGCAACAGAACAGTTATCAAGTAACAACTACACTTCTGACACCAAATGTTGTTTCACCACAAAACCAGAAGCCGAAAAGAGAGGTGCGGCTCTCCTGCATGGTCTTTTATTAGCACCTCCGTACACGCCTCCAGCCACGCCTAAAATGGGCATGGTTAGCGGCATGGCTCACCACCCTTTCATTACCACATCCATATGCGCCTCTAGCGTGCCGCAGTGCAGTCCTAAAGTCTCCTCCTACAACTGTCCATGATGGATCCTGCTTCAATGACCACTCTCCTAAAAGTCAGTATCAGGAGCATTTGTTGTGGGGACTTTTGGGAGTAGAGTATGCTTTCATACTCTTGTGTGTTATGTGTGTATGTTATGTGTGGGTAGTGTACACTCATGTGTGGAGGGCAAAGGAGGATATTGGGTGTCCTGTTTTATCACTCTCCACTTTATTCCTTTGAGACAGGGTCTCTTGCTGAAGCTGGAGCAAGGCTGGCCGTCAGCAAGCCCCGGAAGTCTTCTTATTCCCATCCCCAACAGTGCCGTGGGTTCAGATGTGTGCACAGCTGTGCTTAACATTTGAGCTCCAGGGATTCAAATTCAGACCCTCATGCAGGCATGGCAAACGCTGTTGCCCCTGAGCCTTCTCCCTAAAATACTCTTTGTGTGTATGTGAGGCTGGCCTCAGATTCAATATGTAATGGAGGATGACTTTGAACTCTTAGATCTTTCTGCCCCTGTCTCCCGAGAGCTGTCATTACAGGCATGTATCACCATGCCCAGCTTACTCCGTTTTTCCTGTTTAACACATTTCTACTTTATGTTTTGCGTTGTGGTAGCAGGGTTTTCCATGCTCATGTTACTTTGATGTAAAACAAATTCTCTGATGCAATCACTGTTAAGTATAAATTCTGCTGTTTTCCTTTTTTTTTTGTTTGTTTGTTTTTTTGGTTTTTTGAGACAGGGTTTCTCCGTGTAGCTCTGGAGCCTATGCTCTTACCCTGGCACTCACTCTGTAGACCAGGGTGGCCTCGAACTCACAGAGATCCACCTGCCTCTGTCTCCCAAGTGCTGGGATTAAAGATGTGAGCCACCAACGCCCGGCTGGAGTTTTCCTATGTTCAATGGCTCTGTTGTAGTGATGTCTATCTTAATTTGGGCTCTCCCGAGCAAAGTCTGGGTAAGAACTGGTGTGGGAACTCTTGTAGGGGTTTAGACAAGAGCAGTAGGGTGGGAGGAAGTGACCAGTTGTACTGGACCAGCACAGGAACTCCAGGGGTGCAGCTCTTCCCACGATCAACTGACCCCTGACTGGTCTGCCCAGCGGTGCAGTGGGACTGTATGGGACAGAAGGGACGCTCCTCCTGCCCTCAGCACTGACTCTGTGGGGCTCCTGGGTACAAGCCTCCATATTCTAGGGGCTGGTGTCACCTTCTTCTATGGAGAAAGCTCCAAGGACTCAGGAAGTCCGTCGAATCACCATACCTGAACTGGAGCCCAGCACTAATGAGTGATGGAGCAGGCTCCTCTCTGCCCATGGTCCTGCTCAGCCAGCGTTTGCCACCTCCTCTTTAAGACCCATATCATGCCCCCCATGACGTCATGTACTGTGTGTGCTCCAGGAACGCTAAGGTCCAAGCATAGACGAGCACCAGCGAGCTTGATCACGATTGACATGCTTTTTTTTTCTATAGACAGTACATTGCTGTGCTCAGGGCAGGAACCAGTTTGCACCAGCTTCTATTCTGTGCTCACCACCCCTTCATGCAGCTTTGCTGGAGCATAGCTGGGTCCGAAGCCTCATTTCTGGGGCTGGAGAGATGGCTCAAAGGTGGAGAGCACTTGCTAATGCTGTAGAGGGGATCCACACTACGTGGCTTACAACAGCCTATAGCTCAAGCTCCAAGGGAATCCGATATCTTCATCTGGCCTTGCTGGACACCTTAACACACATGGCATACACAGACACAGACACATACACCTAAGCAATAATACAATTTCTTAGCTGGGTGTTGGTGGCGCACACCTTTAATCCCAGCACTCGGGAGGCAGAGGCAGGCGGATCTCTGTGAGTTCAAGACCAACCAGGTCTACCAAGCAAGTTCCAGGACAGCCTCCAAAGCTACAGAGAAACCCTGTCTCGAAAAACAAAAAAACAAACAAAACAAAACAAAAACCAAGCAACCAAGTAATAATACAATTTGTTTTTTAAAGAAGCCTCATTCCTCATAAGAATTGAGACATCTAACCCACTCCCCCATGCTTCACCCTACAGGTGACCTACGGCTCTTTTGACTACACTTCACTGCTTTACCTATCGGATTACTTAGAGGACTTCGGTGGAGGGCGTTTTGTGTTCATGGAGGAAGGGGCCAACAAGACAGTGGAACCCAGAGCTGGTAGGACAACAGGCTGGTGGGTTGTCCTAGGGTATGGGATCCAGGCCTGAAGCTCAGCTTGATGACATCTGTGCATGTTCATAAGCATGTACACACACACACACACACACACACACACACACACACACACACACACACACACAGGTACTATGGGCAATGTGGGCTTTACTCCAGGCAATACTACATCTGTAGAACACCTGCTCCAATGGGTCTGAGGCATTAGGGTTCTAGACATGGGCATGCTCATGCCAGTAATATACATTCAAGCCGGGCATATTGGTGTACACCTTTAATCGCAGCCCTCAGGAGGCAGAGAGAGTCAGGCAGATTTCTATACGTTTTAGGCCAGCCTGGTTTGCAAAACAAATTCTAGAACAACCAGAGATATATAGAAAGACTCTGTTTCGCTGGGCGGTGGTGGCACATGCACTTGGGAGGCAGAGGCAGGAGGATCTCTGTGAGTTCGAGACCAGCCTGGTCTACAAGGGCTAGTTCCAGGACAGCTTCCAAAGCCACAAAGAAACCCTGTCTTGAAAAAGACTGTTTCAACAAAACAAAACAAAGCAAAATAATACATATTCATTCAGGACTTCATCCACTTTCCATAGGTGTTGAACATGAAAACAGCTTTTTAAAATGTTGTGTTTATGTGTATATATATGTGGTGGGTTTGTGCACAGGAGTGCAGTGCCTGTAGAGGCCAAAAGAAGGCATCAGATTCTCTGAACTAGAGTAGCAGGTGATTATAAGCTGCCTGGCTTTGGTGCTGGGCACTGAACCTGGCTTCTCCATTCTCTGCAAGAACAATATATGCTCATAACTGATGTGCCATTTCTCCAGCCTTTGAAAATGGCTTTGAAATCAAAAGGTAGAATGGGATACTAAAGGGCACTGTCTTCTCCTTTGGTTGGTTTTGAGCACGCTACGGGCCACGTTTACATCTTGTAGGCAGTTGGGGTTCAGGGACTCATGCACTGTGTTTCGAGTCTCTATTGATGGGTTTAGGGCCTAAGAACAGAATGGCTACACCAGGCCAGGCCCCAGACCGAGTGAAGGGCGGGTCCAGGAAACAGTGCTGCTTTCAAGATGGTATGGGGTGCCCACCATGGAGGCTGAACAGTGTGGGTATGGCGTTGCCATGGTCACCCTGCAGCTTGGAATTAAAGAGACCGGCATGAAAGCTGGCCACTGCATGAGAGTTATGAGCTGTGGGGACATGTCCTAGTCACTGTTCTATTGCGAAGAAGAGACACCATGGCCACGTCAACTTTTATAAAGGAAACCATTTAATCGGGGCTTGCTTACAGTTTCAAAGGCGTAGTCTATTTTCATCATGGCAGGTAACATGACAGTGTATAGGCAGACATGGTGCTGGAGAAGTAGCTGAGAGTTCTACATCCGGACCCTCGGGCAGCAGGAAGAGAGAGCCACTGGGCCTGCCTTGGGCTCTTGAAACCTCAAAGCCCACCCTCAGTGACACACTTCTCCTAACAAGGCCACATCTACTCCCAAAATGCTCCAACTCCTAAACCTTTCAAATAGTGCCACTTCCTGGTGACCGGACATTCAAATCTATGAGCCTATGGGGGCCATTCTCATTCAAACCAACACAAGACATCACTATTCACCACTCAGGGCTCCTGGAGGGGAACAGGGATCTCTCCTGAGATAAGAGGGACCTGTTTTGGGACCGTGGGACCTGTCTAGGGATGTTTGGTGGTCAGGACCCAGCCTGCTCCCTAGATGAGGGTAAAAGCTAATAGACTATGTCAACCTCTGGCTTCACTGACTAAAGAAAAGATAAGGTATTAAGCACACCACCAGTGTCACCCCTGTGAGAAGTATACCCAGCACCCACTCTTAAAAGCCATGGTAAAACTATAGGAAGAACAAATATTTAATTTCATACTGAATTCCCTAGAACCATGGGCAATGGGCTACATCCATGACAATGGAGCTTCCTCCCAGGCTTCTGGCAGGTTCTCCAGCCATCTCTGGGCGCATTGTTCCTCTCCTTATATCTGTTTTGGCCACTGCCCAGCCAGGTGCTCAGAACTCGGCAAAGCCATTCACACATGCCCGGAGTTCATTATGAAATTCATTATGAATCACAGCTCTCCAGGGAAGAAGCTGAGGGTAGGGTCACAGTGATCCAGGCAAATTTCCTGCTGTTCACCACAAATCCCAGCTCTGGCAGCTCATGAGACACACACATAGGGCCCTCTGACCAGGTACTCACTGAGCCTTAGTGGCCAGGGTTTTATTGGATGTTGGTAAATAGAAAATGACTGACATCCCCTCCCTAACCCATCACTGAGCCTTAGTGACCACTATCCCCCAAACCCATGTAACGCTCTAGCCCTCAGAGGTTGGGCTTATTCCATATGACCCTGGACCCTGCTGTAAATCATGTGACTGGCTAGACTCTGGTGGGGCCTACAACCCAGGTCAGCAGAAGCTGTGATCAGTCCTGTCTCTGAAAGAGCTAAGGTGTGGTCAGTCAACGGTTTATTTGCTCCCTAGGGAGGGAGTGTCCCAAGCACTTTGAGGACTGAAAGCCAGCAAAGCCTTGGTGTCACCTTGTCACTCAGGGGCTGTGATTACATGAGGAGATATACAGGATTCTAGAAACCTAGGTCACTTTGTGATTTGGTTTTTCAATTCCCAAGTTCAGTCCCGCTTTAAGGAAGTAGGTAGCCATCAGACAGTGCTTTCCAGGGATAGTGGGTGTCATACAGTCCCACGTTCTGAGAACTGGGGTATCTTTGTTCATCGTGCTTGGCTGTCCTTGTCAGTCTGTCCTTGTCTCTGCTCTGGGACTGATGTTTTTTGATCCCATTGCAAGAGTTCTACCATTTTGTGACTCCAAGGCCTCCCTGACACACCTGTCATTTCAAAGGTATAGACTTTTGAACTGTCAGAGTAAAGTGGAGTCCATTAAAAGCAAAGAAAGTCTGAAGCCTATACTAGCCTGTATCGGCATTACCACCGTCATTAGGGGTGTGAGTCTGCAAGCAGCAAGGAAGGTGGCGACACTGTTTTTTTCCTCACAAGGCGGTAAGCTGTAGTCTGCAGCTGCGGAGGTATCCATTTGCCGTGCAGGGTTGGATCCTGCAAGCTGAGCCTCTTTATATCAGCTGGCTGTCCCCAAGTCACCTGGCCACAGAAGAGGCTTCAACTAGAGTAACAGGAGTCACTCCTGTAAAAAGGGTGATGCTGTAGCCATGTGCCCATGCTGTCTCCCTGGCTTACACTCTCTTTCTCCGTCTCTCTGACACTCCCCTCTTCCTCCCAGCCCTCTCTGTTTCTTTGTTTTGTTTTTGAGACAGTCTCATGAGGTTGGTCTTGAACTCCTGGTCATCTGCCCTCATTTACCAAGTGCTAGGATTACAGTTGTGCACCGTCACACCTGGCTTTATCTCCTCACCTCTTGAAAGAAGTCAAAGCCAAAGCTCTAAGAAGTCTAGCTTACTGATCTTTCTCTTTGGTGTTCATACTTTAAAATAATGCCTAGAGCCGGGCATGGTGGCACACGCCTCGGGAGGCAGAGGCAGGCGGATCTCTGTGAGTTCAAGGCCAGCCTGGTCTACAGAGTGAGTTCCAGGACAGCCTCCAAAACAATACAGAGAAATTCTGTCTCGAAAAACCAAAATAAATAAATAAATAAAAATAAAGAAAGATAATGCCTAAGAAATACTTGCCACCCTAAAATTATAGGGATTTTTTTTCTTGTATTTATTCGTAGAGACTTTATGGCTTTTACATCAATGCTCTTGATCCACGTTGAAATAATATTGATGTGTGTGTGTGTGGTGTGAGGTAGGGGCTACTGTTCACTTGTTATGCATGTGTTTCCAGATGTCTCTACATCATTTATTGAAGAGGCTATCTTACCCGTCGAGTGAGCCTTGAAGCTTTTGTCACAGAGCCGTAGACCATGACCCCCCTACACTTCTGTCTCTGGATGCCGTGTTCTGTCCACTGAGCAATATGCCCCCCCCAATGCCACAGTGTCCCCACCACTATAGCTTTATAATCTGAAAAACAGGTGGCATTATTCCTTAGTCTTCATTTTAAAAGTTGTTTCAGCTGCCAATTATTTTTGGCTTCATTTCTAAACGAATTTTAGAGTCTGCTTGCTAATTTCCACAGAAATTGTGTTTCGAGTTTCAGTGAATCTGTGGAGTAATTAATGAAAAATACCAAGCTGTTTGGCTGTTTGGCTGGGTCACTTCCACCTATAGGTGCGCCCATAACTTTTGTCAACACCATGGTATGTTATTAAGTTATCCCTTTCCCCCCTCTCTTTAAATGATTTATTTCCTCTCTTGGGAATTAGAAGGTCAGTTTCCTTTTCCCACCCCCACCTGCCACCTGCTCATCGCTTCCAATATTTCCCACCCCTCTCTGGATCCAGGCTTCTAGCAGGGAGCATCTCCCTTCAGCCTGTGGCAGAAGGGCCGCAGTGATGTTTCTGAATGTGTCCGAATTTTACTGTCACCCCCCCCCCAATGGTGCTGGGGATGAGCCCAGGTTCTCATGAATGCAGAACAGGCACTGAACTGTGAGCTGCACCCCTGGATCTCCCTGTTTATCGTTTTGTCTTGCTAGGTGGCAGGGTTTTACTCTGTAGCCCAGGCTGACTGGGAACTTCAGATCCTCAGTCTCAGTGTCTTGACTACTGAGGTTACAGATGGGCACCACACTGCCTGGAACCCCTCATTGTTATTTTTTTTAATTAATTTTCATTGGATGTTAAATTCTGAGTTGATAGGGGTTTTCCTATGTGCTTGCCCTCCCCAATCCCCCCCTTTTTTTGAAACCAGTCATACTATGTTGCTCAAACTGTCCTTGAACTTATGATCCTTTTGCCTCAGTTACCAAGATACTGGGATTATAGTCATGAGCCACGATGCATGCCACTTAAAGTGGTTTTAAAAGATTTATGTTTTTATTTTGTGTGTGTGTTAGCCTTTCATATTGTATATGCCCTGAATCACAGATGCCAGAAGAGGACACCAGATCCCCTGGAGGTACAGATGATTGTGAGCAGCCCTGTGGGTGCTGGAAATTGCACCCAGGTCCTCTTCATGAGCAGCAAGTGCTCTTAACTGCTGAGCTGTCTCTATCTTTTTTTTTTCTGAAATAGATTCTCAGATATCTCAGAATACCTCAGGCTAGCCCTGAATTCTGATCCTTCTGTGTTTCCCTCTCGAGTGCTAGGATTACAGGTCTACACCAGTATGCCCAGTTAATTCACTGCACAGGATCAAATCTCTAGGACTTCATGCATGCTAGGCAAGCACTCTCCCAGCTGAGCTACAATGTTTGTTTTGTTTTTTAGCAGGGCAAAGCGATTTAACCATCAAGTAAAGGGGTTAGTGACCTCAAGTTCATCTTTGAGGTATTAACGTAGGCTTTGGTTTAAACCATGGGTAATTAATCAGCCATGGACAGGGTTAAGCATAGTTAGTCATTGTCTCCATTCTGGTTCTCCAGAGTGGTATGAAATTGTTTCCACCATTACTTCTGCTCCAGAGTGCCCTCCCACCTGCACAGATAATTACCTTCATTTGGAGGATGGTCTGTCCTACAGACTCTAGCAATAAAAGGTAACTGCAGGTTTAGGATAATGAGATGGTCAGATGGAGATAGTCCTAGTGGTTAGCATGCCTACAAAAGCCAAGCAGGAGTCTAACACAAAGGAGACAGACACAAAATGGAGGCAGACACGCCAGGCTTTCGTTCCAAGTGTAGAATATGAGCTTCTTAGCAAAACAAGCCCCTAAATGCCTGTTATACTGCTGTATCTTCGTAAAGGATCGCTGTAGCCAGAGGTTTTCTGTCCCGTCTGCCAGTCCCACAGCCAATTATAAAAATAATCACCCAAAGGCTTGATATTAATTATAATTGTCCAGCCAGTGGATCAGGTTTATTACTGGCTAGCTCATACATTTAAATTAACCCATTTCTATCAATATGTGTATTGCCGTGTGGCCCATGGCTTACTGTATGTGTTCTTTTGGTTGCTGCTGGGGGCTCTCGACCCTGCCTTCTTTCTCCCCTATATCTCTGCTTGGGTTTCCCACCTGTCTATATTCTGCCCTGCCTTAGACCAAAGCAGCTTTACTCATCAACCAATAAAAGCAACACATATTCACAGTGTTACAGAAGGACATCCCACGTCAGATATCACATAGCCAAGAAGCATGAAAGAGACAAAGATAAGGTCTCACTGGCTGGCCTAGAACTCAGTATGTGGATCAGGCTGGCCTCAAACTCACAGAGATCTGTCTGTCCTTGACTCCTAAGTGATGGGATTAAAGGCATGGGGCCCCCAAGCAAATGCCACTTTTGAAAAAGATTTCAGTTCCTACTGCTCCCGAGAAGCCAGCCACTGTCTCTTGCATGCCCTCCCCCCTCCCCTGCTGCTAATTTCAAGGTTTTCAGTAATTTTGTTTCATCAGCTTGATGCATTTTTCCTGTCTCCCCAGCATAGAAAGTCCCCATAGCCGAGAAGCCTGGGGGTCCCCCATCTCCCCTTGGTGCACCCAGCACTGTTGGTTCAGTTGTCTTAAGTCCTCTGGCTTTTGTAACAGCAGTCGGGGGGGGGGGGGTCAGTGCTGTTGTGTTCATTACTGAGTCCATCCCGCAATTGTGGCCTCTGGAGGTCACCTCTCTTTTTCTCTCCCTCCAGGTCGAGTCTCATTCTTTACCTCAGGCTCTGAGAACCTGCACCGGGTGGAGAAGGTCCTCTGGGGCACCCGCTATGCCATCACCATCGCTTTTACCTGCAACCCCGACCATGGCATCGAGGATCCAGTACTCACAACGTGACAAGGGCTAGGTTGGGTCCTGAGGACCATGGGTAGAAAGAAGCCTGTTGGTGGCGCCCCAGTGTTGGGACGCAGCCCCGTCAACAAAGGCACTCTCCGAGGCCAGGTCGGCGAGCGAGCGAGTGCTCACCGCCCCCCCCCCCCCCCCGCCCCCATTTCAGCCCATTGCTGCTGCACAGAGTGCCTTATGAATTAGCCTGAGTTTGATTTGCTGATGTTTTAATCTTTTCATCTGTGAGTAAATCAGGGAAAGAGCCTCTCAACCTGATAGCTCTGAGCGTGTGGGCTGCCCCGCCACGGCCGGCAGGCCTCATTCCTCAGGAGGGATCCCTGTGTAGGGCTAGATATCGCGCCCCCGCCCACGCAGCCCACTAGACTAGACTAGACTAGACAAAAAGGAGGGGGACATAGGAATAGAAATGGCGGTGCTTTGGAGAAGGCTCCAGCCCTTGGTGTCTCTGGGAGCCTGAAAAGTTTCATGGGTGAAGGATAACTCTGTGCATTTGACGGGGAGGTGGGCACTGCATGATCCAGTGACTAAGTCCGCGCCTGAGAACCATCCTACATTCAGTCTTGCTGTGCTGGGCCTGGTCTGTCACCAGCGTTATCCCCGGTAGTACAAATCCAAGCATGTCCCTGCCAAGGAGGGTCTCAGCATCTCTGGGCCCACCCAGCTCCCAGGACTCCCTGCCCAGCGAGGCACAATGTGCCGGTCTCTTTCTCGTTGTGATGCCGTCTCTTCTCCCATCAGCAACAGTCAGAGGAACCGGGAACAAAAGTGCCATGGGGGAGGCCTGGGCCCCAGGGGCAACTCCAGCCCCACCAGCCCAGTTTCTACTAGATCAAGCACGGGCCGCAGTTGCACCCTGAAGCCACATCCCCAGGAGAGGGGCCGGCCCCCTCCCCGCCCCTGCACACATAAATGGAGTTCCAAGAATGCCCCCCAAGAACCAGACTCGTCTGGTCATCTTGACATAACGTCCTAGGAAGAGCATTCTGGGGGCATCCCTCTTCTGTCCAGGCAGCATGGCCACGTGGCCATGCACTCCTGAGGCGGGCGGTCCTGATGTTGTGATTATCCCTATAGCTCATATGCCTCTGGTGGTGACCCAAGACAGCTCAGGCATCTCAGACCATTGAGCAGCCCTGCCATGGTAAAAAAAAAAAGGAGGGGGCGGTTGGGGGGTAGGGTGGAGGGGTCCTAGACCCTGGGAATGAGTAGATGTGATGAGGAGATCTCAAATAGAGGAGCCTGGGTGTGCATTGTACCACCTGTACCAGGTGCCTGTCTCAGAGCAGGATGTCTGGTCTCCACATGTGGAGGAGGATCATGTCTTCGTTCTAGCAGGCTGTACCATGGGCAAGGCAGTGCTCTGAGTGCTGAGGCCTCTGCCGCCCCCTATTGGTCCTCCTGCGTGGATCACTGGGAACAACGAAGCTCTGGCTTGGTGGATGAGGCTGACCTTGTAGGTTGCCGCTTCCTGGACCTGTGCAGTCAGGGCTGTGGTACCAGGCCTCCCTGAAGTTGTCACCTTGTGGCTCTAGCCCATGAGTTTCTGGTTGTAGTTAAGATAGGTGTGCCTTAGGCTGCGTGGCAAGGCTGCCTGATGCTTCTTCCATAGTCACAGCCCGGATATCCTCTGAGGTCTTTGGAGTACCAGGCAGTACTTACCTGGTGAGGAGGTCTGACCATCTTATCCCAAGCCAGCCAGACACGGCATGAAAAACAGTACTTAAGTGGGAGTAGGTCCTGGGACTTTTTCTATTCTTTTTTACGGTTTATTTATGTATATGAGTATCTGTGTGCATACCTTTATGCCGGAAGAGGGCATCAGATCCCCCTATAGATGGTTGTGAGCCACCATGTGGTTGCTGGGAATTGAACTCAAGGTGCCCTAGAAGGAGCAACCAGTGCTCTTAACCTCTGAGTATCTATCTCTCCAGCTCCAGGCCATGGGTCTTAGTGAAGCTCCAAAAGTTTCTGGAAAGGTCACATGGCCAATAACGCAACCTCCTCAGCTGGGACCAAAGATGGGGTCAGGTGTCAACAACAGGCAGAGGCTTGGGACTGGAACGAGGGTGATTCTGCATGTCCTAGTAGTTAGTGATAGCCACGGGCCTTAGCACAAGCAACACCTGGACAGGCAGTCTGAGGTGACACTCTAGACACGGGTCGAGCCTGTGTTAGATTACTACCTGACAGGTGTCTTCAGAGCAAGTGAAAACTGGTGCAGTTTCCTTCCTCAGACTCCACAGCCAAGTCTGTGTGAGCCCCTTCTAGATAATGCAGACCAAGGAAGCTCCATAACCCTTTGCTTTTAGCTCTGTGGTTGTCATTGAAACACAGCCAAAGACATGTCACATGGAAGCCAGAGGGTGGAGCTTACAAAGGACCTTCATTCACTACTTCTGGGTCAGCATCTTCATCTAGTGTCACGCCTGGACAGAGTCCTTGGATGTGGCAAGAGATGGCCATCCTGTGTGATACCAGCCTCAGCTGAGGCTGTACCCACAGCCACAAGACTCACCACTTCTTGCCTACCCTTGGGGTCTAGCTCATGTGGATAGAATGAAAGACATCTTTGCTTGTCACTGAAACGGAGATCAAAGACGGCATGGGTCCCACCTGTCTGGGCTTCTGGAAAGGAAGCCAGGTCTGTGAGGCAGGGCTTTGGGTCTCGATGGCTTGGGTCTTGCAAGCTCAGGAATGGGTAGGGTACCCAGGAAAGCTGTAGCCACACTGACCCTAATCTCAGACCCTCACACATCTTCTGTGAGTCCACCCATGATTTTCACACCCAGTGCTTGCAGTGGAACCCTGGAGAGATCTGAGAAACGTCTCCTCACCCATCCCATCCAGCCTCCATGCAGTGTTCCACCTCTCAGTGCTCTTAACCCGGAGGCAGGAGGTAAGCAAAGCAACAGCCAGAGTTTATTTATGTTTCATGTGCTCAATTGACACATGACTTTCCAGATAACCTGGGGAAACATCACCCAAAGTTCAAAGCTGCAAGATAAACACATTAGAAATAGTGGGTCGAAATCAAACAGGAGAGAGACCTGGCTCTACTTCCCCAGAGGCTCTCCGATAAATTGCAATCCAGTCCCATCTCAGCAGTCTCTCCTGGGACACCTGACACTGTAAATATCAGGGTTTCATCCGTTTCTTGAGAGCCCTGTTTTCATCCCTGTGAGCCACCTTGTGCCAGGCCTTCAGCTCTCTCCATGGATCTCTCTGTCTCCCTCCGTGTCTCTGTCCCTCGAATAGCATGTCACTGTGTAGCTCTGACTGGTGTGGAACTTGGTATGTAAACCAGGCTGACCTCTAACTTACAAAGGCCTGCCTGTCTCTGTCTCCCAAGTCAAGTGCTGGAAATAAAGGCATGCACCCCCACACCTGGCTTTCCCCCGGGTCTTAACCTTGAGCCTATTTTCTGTGCTTTTATTTCCTTCCTGTTAGCCCCACCTGGGAGAGAGAGCAGTTCTTGGCCATTAGAGTTAAGGCACACCCTTTTTGTTCTCTCAGGGGCTCTCAGTTGCCCGTCTGTACCATGATCACCCTTGGTATCTGCACCTTTATGTGCACACCACGGCCCATGCATGCAGGGAAGGAGCTGTGACCTGTGCACCACCCCCACAGAAGACATCAGCCCTGCCTCAATCCCATCTGCCTTTCTAGTTTATTAACCCTTCTTGAGGCCTAGAACAAGGGGGTGCTCAGGGCTCTATTCTTGGGAAGGCAGGCAGGAGCTCACAGAACTCTCTCTCCCTGGCTGTGCCATGTTGGGAGACCGTAGCCCCTCCAATGCCCCCTCCTGTGACCTTTGATAAGAACAGAGCATGCCTTCAGTCTCAGAGTTCGAGGCCAGCCTGGTCTGCAGACCGAGTTCTAGGACAGGCTCCAAAGCTACACGGAGAAACCCTGTCTCGAAAAAAAAAAACAAAAAGAACGGATAGAGCTGGCTGGTGGAGTCTTTAAAAAACCTGAGAAGGGTAGGGGGATGGGTATCCTAAGCTTCTTGAATCTCATGTATCTTGCCTCAACCCCCCGACTTTCCTCAGTGTGTCCAGCCCCTTAGCTCAGGCCTGCCTGGCCTTTTACCCCCTACGGCAAAGTACCCCTTTACCCTTGGGAGGCTAGAAATACTCAAAGTGTGTGTGTATGTGTGTGGGGGGGTGTCTCGGCAATGCATAGGTCCAGACCAATGAGCCACCCCCATCTCTGTCTTTCAATGAGGCCAATCACAGGGTAGGCTTGGGAAAGATAACTACCAGTGTCTCCTTTTCTCCATGCTCCAGGGTTCCTGTTAGAGGCCTTCAGCTCAGACAGTCCTGATCTATGTCTACCTTTCAGACTTCCTGTGGTTCACCCACCAGGCCCCAGCCCAACCCCGTTCAGGGTCCCAGCTCGGCAAGGATCCTTGGCATAGGCTAGCCAGCACTGACTACTGGTGTACAAGGCACCACCCTGGGCATCCATGGTACCTTAAATCTCACACTGATGCATACTTAGGGAATGAGACACAGGATCTGGACTTTCGATCATGTTGTGAGTTGCCAGAAGCCGTGAAAGGCTCACTGTGTCCCTGCTGGCCAGCGAAAGCAGCTATGTGCCAGGCTCATAGCCACCTGGGCAGATGGAAGCCCCACTGGCACAGTCCCCTCCCCCACCCCTCAACCCCCCACCCCACCCCGTGCCTTTGCTAGATCCTACAAGAAACCATCGGTACTGAGCATCTGACTGCATAGCCTCTCCCTTGTTCCCTGTTTGCAGAGCTTGGGTGCCCCTTAAACCCTTAGATCCTTAGCTAAGAGGACTTAACAGAAAAAATGTCCAAGCATCAGGACATCTGAAGTCACTGTAATACCCGAAAGACACCTGAAAGATGGCCAGCCAGTCTGTGTAGTCTGAGAGCACTGTAGGTGAAAAGCCCTGGGTAGGGGAGGAAGGGGCATCCCCAGAAGGTGACCCCTGGGCTGAACAGAGATCGTGTGTTGGTAGGGAAAGGTGGGCAGAGAGGTGCAAGGAGCTAGACAGAGTCCTGGATGCTTTCCTACACTTCCTTACCGTCGGCCCCGCCCAGCTTCAGCATCTGTGGGTCCAGGAGGACAAAGCTGTAGTATACCACTGCTCAACCATAGGCCACTGCCAGTATCTGCACCTGCCCCTGACAGTTTGGGGGACAGGGACAGGGATCGGGATCCTTTAGAGCCAGAGCAATCCTGGGGTACTTGGCCTTCCTGACTCCACATGGGACAGCGT